CAGAAGCCAGACCGGCGGCGACCGTTTGGAACTGGTCTGGTAAGATATTGTCCCCAGGGGCTCTTCTCGCCGTTCTTTACTTTTCTTCGTTCCATATATATTTTTCCGCCCGTTTAGACTTTCCCTCACCCCCTCAACGCCGCGCTGTTAAGAGGCAAACTTACCAAATTTTCTCTTTTAACTTTACAAGGCGTTTTTCAATTCTCGAAACCCAACATCTAAACTTATTCTTGTTGCGATAATGTTCGCCTCCTTCGCCCTCTTCATAAAAAATTGCCACACAGTCAATGGTGACCACGCCGTCTTCAACCTCAGCGACCTCAGACATTGTGAGAAAACGTTTAAAACCTCGAATTACCGGCACAGGTAAACACAGGACAACTCGGATTAATATTAATCCGTGGCTTATAATAGTAATAGATTATAATAGGGTTATTATAATCCGGTAATAGATTATTATAATCCAGTAATAGATTATTATAATCCAGCAATAGATTATTATAATCCAGTAATAGATTAAGGCACGGCAAAAATTGGAACGATTAGATTATTATTAATAATAATCATCCAGATTAATATTAATCTCTATTATAATCCAGATCAGAGCTATGACAGACAAACTGCAGACATTACACGCTGAACAAGGGACTGACGGGACATAACACTGATCACATCAGACACACGATCACTTGCATATGTTAGAGCTGGTAGCGATGTTGAGCCTAGAAGTAAAGGAAAAGGAACAAGCGCCTCTGGGCCAGCGAATCCTAACCCTAACCCAAATTACCGACAGTTACTGTTATCAGCAGACGTCCTAAGTGAAATGTATATAAAGGATTCTTATATTGAGATCAAGCAAAAGGATGCAAGAATGCATCAGATAGTGATAAGGACGCCTTAGATCTTAAAATAATAACAATCTTGGGAAGCTTTGGACAAAAATTAATCTTAGGCAAAAATGATATTAATAGGAATCCTGTGTGGGATTATATTTATCAGATTAATATTAATCCTAATCGATTAAGGTACGGCTCAAAGCTCAGTTATGGATTATAATAATCTATTACTGGATCTAATATTAGGATTAATATTAATCTGATTAATATTAATCCTACATAAGATCAATATTAATCCTAATTGATTAAGGCACGGCTCAAACCTCAGTAATGGATTATAATAATCTATTACTGGATTATAATAATCTATTACTGCATTATAATAATCTATTACTGGATTATAATAATCATTAGGATTAATATTAATCCGATTAATATTAATCCGAGTTGTCCTGTAAACAGATCGACAAGCCTGGTAAGGTAACTTGAGACGACTCATTATCATTGGATGCAACAACAATCACATTGTATATTATCGACCATTAACTGTCACAAAATGACCCACAAATGGTGTAATCATTTACCGTTATGTCTCAAGACTTCTAAAAATTAACTTTTATTGACCTTTATGTCTTACTGTGTTTTGTTTTGCGTATTGTATCGAAAGGAAAGCGCAAATAAACGGTACCGTAATACCGTGAACAATCTTATTTCACCGAATACCGTCAGCCAAAATGATGAAAAACCGCATGCTGCAGAGCTAGACGATACCGCAATACCGCACGTTAAAATTAAAATTACCGAGATACCGCATGAAAAAAAGCCCAATACCGCAATACCGTAAACCCCCATGTCCCCCTCGGTATTGAAAGTGAAATACAGTGTACATACGTGTACACATGCAGGCTTGATAATGCGGTTTAAAATTATCCTGTTGGTGTCTTGTTTCAAGAGTGTTACCCCCCACCGCCGGGGCTTTCCTAATATATAATTTAACTTTCAGAAGGTGTACAAAAATTTACAAGTGCTAAACAAATATTTAGATTAAATATGGTAGTGCCTCAAAAAGAGTGAACTTCTTCACGATCGGGCTTTTACGAGGTCATAATAAGCTTAACAACTCAGTATACTTCTATACGTCTTACTGAAGAACCGAAATAACTACAAAACAGCTCATTTATAACAAATTTTCGTAACCAACCTCACTTCAACAAGATTGCAAAATTATAACGGAGGAAACTGATTCGAATAAATACACTGATCATTTTTGTGGTTCATTCCCTGACATTTATTATATGCTATATGGATTCTGTGAGATGTAAACTACTTTGGAGCGAAGCTACAAGTTTTCTCATGCTTTTTATCCAGGGAAAAACGGGTTTTTGTAGAGCGAAAGGTCGCACCGCACTCACATAATTTTCTTGGAGACTCACCTAAACCCTTCAGAAACCTTTTTTGCAGAATTTTCACGTAGTAATCAAAATGCACTTACCTCTTCCGTTGGAATATAAGGTAATGGTATCCTCGATTAAAAGAGAAACCACATTGCTGCTTCATGACACGGGAAAAAATAAGCTGATTTTCTTGTGAGCTCCCTTCGTGCTTCCTAAAATAGTTTACTCGCCCTCGTCGGAGTTATCCGTGACCTTTTGCACAAAAGAACTTCCGGAACTAATGTTATATTCTCTCACGTCAATAAACGAGAATTTGTCAGAAACAACTAGCTTAAATGGTCCAAAGTGGTATATGAGAGATAACTGAAAATAGATAAGACATAAAAATTAAAGTATCTAGATAGCATTTTGTTTTTATTTGGAAAACCTGTTGCCAAAGAGAATACATCCGCTCCAACTATCAAAGAGATTCCAATAAAGTTTTAGAAGGAATAAAATAAAACAAAATAAAGCAAACCTGAGCGAATAATAAAATGTATCGGAGTAATAACAAAACCCTTCAGGTATAACTCTTATACCTGGGTCTGAAGTGACTTAAAACTGCCGAATAGCATAAAGCTTATTAAATTTATAATTTATAATTTTCTTGCTTTTACCCACCGAGCTTTGACAAGACTAGTAAGCAATTTAGTGCTCCTGAAAAGGAAGCAAACACATACAGCTTTTCATAATCTTTTGTCCCCAAATCCAAATGACTTGTGTTCTTTGATTTACCCGCATACAAAATTTTCTCAAGTTGTGCTCCATCATCTCTTGATATTACATCTAAAATTTCGTCCATTATCAGTTGAGCGGAAATACTCGAAACACTCAATACAAGACTCGTTCGCTTATTATGAGACAAAGGAATCTTTTCACTCAAAACATGTGTGGGAAAACGTATCAGACGCTTTTAAGGTTTTATGACAGAAATGAATAATTTAGAAGTAAATCCAATCTCGTCCCCAGGGCTTTTCCCTCAAAAAATGGGTAAAGCCCTGGGGACGAGGTTGAAGTAAATCGCGTATGGATACTATTGAATATCCTCTTTGTCTCATTATTATTTTTTTAAACCCTTATTGTTTCACCACCTGTTTGGCGCTATAATAGCCTTTACCATGGTCATAAAACGTGTTTGAAACTTTCCAGTGAGCTGCGGGACCTTGCGGCACTTGTTTGCATTTCGGCTAATAGCAAATAGAAACACCGCGGCCATGAGAAGTAGATTTGGCTAAGTTTGAGTATTTTGCCTGACATTCTTCAGTTTACGGAAGCGACCAGTTGGTCGCCGAGCAAAACTGCTACACGTCCTGTGCTGAATTACGGGTAATGCCATTCAAAATTTGTCGTAGACTCTAACTTGCATTTAAAGGTTTTCCCTTCGCTCTATGCTATGGAGGCCGAGTTCCCGCAAAACAGAAATCCTGTCGAATGGGAGGATACCCTTGCCTGATTAGTCAGTGCCAAGACTCTCGCCAGCTACCCCCCATACCCCCCCAACCCCAAGCGGTTTTGTCACAATTTTTTTTCAGTATCTTGGAACCTAACCTGGAACAGGCCAATGTCTGACTGAACCTCTTCAGTTAAATTCTGATGGTGTAAAGCCTTGTTCTTTAGTCAAATGTATTTCAAAGCCACTTTGCCCCCCCTGTTTCATGTTTCATAGTCGATTGCAATATGATTGAAACAAGAAGCGAACTAGCAAAGTACTTAAGGCTAAGTTCACACCACGAAAAGCTGTCCAGTATAGTGTGAACACCTGTCCGATAATGTGACCCTACACTTACAATAAGAGATCGGCGCGGTGCACTTTTGCTTGGATACAGAAATCGCCCTGAAATCACCGGTGTGAACAGAACCCCTATCGAGTATGGTTTGCAAGCCGGCGCAAGCTATGCGATATAGCCGTGTGAACTTAGCCATTAGTCTCAGTCGGTAATTTGCTCTTCTGAAACTTTCCCTTTCTAAAAAAAAATTACAAACAACCAGTCAAAGACAATGTTTTTCACATAGCTAAAACCTTTATTAAAAGTATTCAACTCTTTACCAAAGTTAAAGGTAACAATAAGCAGCTATTATATATAGCGATCTCTAATAAATTGTTGGTCAATAAGACAAGAAACGGTTTCTTTTATAAACAGGAGTGATGCACTGAACGTATTATTGTACCACAATACACAGTTAAGAAACATTTACATAACCGAACGTAAGAAGTTCCCTTAAGCGACCGGCCTCGATTATTTCCGATCCATCACCTCGTGCGAAATACGCCGCACAATGGTCTGAATTTTCAAGGCGGTCTTTCACGTTATCCTCAACTGTAATAAGAATTTAGCAATGCTATTTACTAACTTACAACGTATTTGACACACAAGTTAAAACTATGTTCATTTTTTAAAAAATGCTACACTTTATCGTTAGAAATACTGAGTTATTTTACAAATTAGTTTGCTTTGCAAACAAACGGAATTAATGCTCTCAATACTCTTTGAGTAAAACCTCTCGTATATTTTACTTTTGAATTGGTTGCGAGCAAATTCTGGAAGCGTAAATGTTCACGTGAATAGGCTAACCCTCTCCAATTATTCTGCTTATTATGTTTTTAAAAAGTGACAGAACATTGAATTAAAAGCCTCAGAAATAAGTTCTGAATCAATACTTCTGGAGTGGACTGAATCTTTCATTTTTCAGCGTATGACTCGGAAGGAAAAAATGCGATGAAAGAAAAACCGAACGTTGTTTCAGCGAGTCTAGCACAAAAAATTATACCTTCAAATTATTTCAACGTACTAAACGAAACCCTTTACAGTCATCTGCCTCAGTGTAAGATGAAGAAGACATTACATTACGTATATTTTTATATAAACGTTTAACGTTTGAAATTTTTTCTAACGGCTGACTTGCAAAGCAACTTTAACCTGGCGACAATATATATACAAATGGTTCTTAAGTCAAGGTTAACTCAACTAATAACACCGCCATAGACGATTACATTGTGAGGAAACCGGCCTTACAATTTTCCTCATACATCCACTTACAACTGCAAGCCACGCTTATGCAAGACTAAAAGAGGTCACATCCGACAGAAATGGGATCACCGATGTACACCTTACAAAGGCTCTTACATGAACTTCAATTACGGGGCTTGAAGTTCAAGTGTCTGGCCACTGTACCATTAATTGTACGTAATTAACAAGTGCTTGAGTGCGATACCTAGAAACGAAAGGGCGGAGAAACCTTGTAGGCAAAGCAAAACACTGTAAGTTATTGTACTGTTTGCAAGGTACTCGCGTATAGACTGCTTTATAGACAAACGTAAGCCAATTGTGGTGCCTCGTTAGTGGTGAACAAACCACTGGCAATCTTTCCATGGACTGAAAAAACGGAATACCCATATGGACTGCCTTTTGAATAGACAATAATGGTAAGTACATGAAGTAACTAACAGTAAAATTATTCAAAAGGTAGTCCATATGGGTAGTTCATCAGGTTAGTCCATGAACTGGGGGTCAGTCTGGGGCACCCAACGACAATTTTCGGAAAAATATCTGTTCGGAAGACGATTTGATACCTAGAATTTTCGGAACATTTGTTGTAAAATTCCTGCTTGCCTGCCTCTCCTAGGATTTTCGAACATCTAAAAAATGGTAAAATTGCCCATTTTCAACGGATTTTTACCCTAAAAAGGTCACCTAGAATTTTCGGGAGCCTTTTTTCTGGCTGAAATTTTCGAACAGGTAAGTTTTGATCCCTATAATTTTCGGATCAGTAGACTTTCAGCTAGGAAATCCGAACAGATTAAAAATTTATAGGGCATAAAAATATGCCCATATCCACTGTTTAAATACTAAAACAGGTTTAACAATGCTATGTTTAAGTGGTTTTGAACTATATTCTTGTTGGGTGACCCTGGTCAGTGCTTTGTTGACCACAGCTTAGTTGTGTCTGGGAACTGTATCTAGAAAAGATACTTTGTAAGCACACTGCATCACTGCAACATGTTATGTAATCTGCACTGCAGGCCTCATTGACTAGCAATAGGGCTGACTGTATACCCTAAAGAATTCTACAGAAGAGGGCTGTTTGTCTGAAAACATTTACTGCTACTGGGTGCTTATTCAACTACATACAGATAGCCTGGTTCCCGGTCCCTAGTCCATCACTCCGCTCCTGAAATGGCCTTTTTCTCCCACTATGGGTCCTGGTCCCAGGCTACTTGAAGGGGTTCAAAACACAAACATGTGAGTAGAGCACTGTATCAAATCCAGTGACATCCTGAATCAACATGCCATACTGTGATGGGACAAGATATTGCATGGGGTTTCAAGGTGCACCTCGTGAAGCATGCGATATGCAGACTCTGCCATTGCATCATTTCCTCGCAGAGAATTGATCTCTTGTTCAGTTCTCTCAATATCTTCTTTGGAAGCAATAACACGATACTGGATCTCTCGGGCTTTCTTAAAATTCTCCAACGCTTCTTGTGTGGATCCTAACTCCTTGAGAGCACAGCCCAAACCATAATAAGCTCTGGCTGTGTCAAGATTATCATCACCTGAAAAATTCAAAAAATTGATAGCAGGATTGGGTTAGGGAGTTGTAAGGTCTGTAATGAATTAACATTATGCAAAACATGTTTTATGTGTATAAGATAATCCAAGAAAGTCTTAGATTCTGGATTCCATGATGTGGATTCCAGTTGAAGGACTCTGGATTCCTTGTCAGTGTAACTTGGATTCTGGATTCCGTAAGCTCAATTCCGGATTCCAAAGCCCAGAATTTCCGATTCCACAAGAAAAAAATTCCCAGATTCTGGATTCCATGGGCAAAAATTTCCTGGATTCTGGAATTCGGATAACATTTCACAGGGCAAATGATACTAGAGACCCATGAGATTTAATACAAACAAGATAAATCATTAACTAAGAAAATCAAGCAGTGGTCATGGACAAGCAAGATGCAAGAGCTGCTTGCCCAAAGGAAAAGTCTGAAATCAAATTTTCTTTTAATCCCTGATGTTTAATAATTTACCTTAAAGGTATAACATATTAATTATATGTTATGAGCACTCATGGTTATTAGAAAAAATTAAGACGTTTATATAATGCTTCCATTTCAAAACTATCAACCTTGCATACCTAACAGTAAGTGTCTCATTCTAAGAGACTCTTTCTTCAAAGAAACAGCTCGCCGAGGTTTACCAAGGGCCTGATAAATTTTACCAATGTGGTCCAACAGTGAGGCAGTGAAGGGGTGCGTACCCAACAGCTCACGGTACTTGACCAAACATATATTCTCCCAAATATTGAGAGCTGCCTTGTGCTGACCGCTTGTAAACAAGGCCACTGAAAAATAGAAAAACCCATAGTAAGAATATATTGTGGCATTTATAAGAGGGACACACTATAAAAAAACAAGGAAAATCATGTGAACAACAACATCATGATGACTGCTGAAAAATGGTTCTTCTCGTTAGTTTCTACTTGATACAGTCAAGGCAGTTCAAGCATACCCTCCAAGACTCTGTTAATGAATTGATTATTTGAAAAATGAATCCACAAGTCATTCCCATGACTATAGTGTCAAATTCAAATGGGCATTCCTGCATGCATAAAGAGCAGATTGAAAATCTTTGAATGGATAAAATTGCTTCGAAGACATATTTATCAGTACAGAGAAACTGAGCTGGTAGAAATTTCACAACTGCCTTTATTATGTGTTTCACAATTCATTACACATGCAAGAATGCAGAAACGAATATGAAATCTACATGTACAACTACAAATTAATTCAACTCAGTTTTGAATCATAATAAATTGATTAATGGCATCTTGGGGGTATGCTTGCCCAGGCTTGACTGTAATGTAGAACTAAACCTTTTCTAGTGAGGGTACTGATGAGTTCATAGAGTAAAAGCCTTATGAAACCCTTGATGTTGTGTATAATACTTTGTCCAGTAATTTGTTGTGCAACAAAAAAAGGCCAAGTAGCAGGAAAACCTTGCAGTTTATCAAAAGTCACCAGATGCAGGGTGCAAAGAAAGGTCCGATTTACAACTTGCCATCCAAGCAAGCTGTAGCTAGCATGAACTAGCCAAAACGTAATTTCAACTAGCTCGCAAAAAATTTTTTGATGCGCACTGATTACGGTTGTTCTCTGATAATTTATTTGAACTCCCCCAAAAACTACACTTGCTCATTGCAGCAAGTTAACAAAGAACAGAATTCACCAGCTCAATAGCAAAATCTACTAGCCCCAGGGTATCGGAGACTACTTTCTTTGTAGGCTGGTCACTGATGGCCTTTATACACAAAAATCTGTACCCTTTGAGTTTCACCTGGGAAAAATTCAGCTAAAGCCATTGATATCCCGTACGAAACTTGCAGCGCTGTACAGCGCCACAAAATCGCTGCAAAATAGCTGTACAGCTAAATTACAGCTGTTCAGCAGCCTTTTAGAAGCCAAACAGCAGCTTCATTAGAGTTGCAGCGGGATGCAAAAGCGCTGTGCAGCCTTTGAAGGCTCTTTGAAGCTCTCGGCAGCGGTTTTGCAGCGCAGTTGCCGACTTTCAAACGCTGCGAAGTAGCTGCAGTAACGCTACAATTCAGCTGCGGTCGATCTGACTTTCTTGAGCGCCAATAACATGAATCGCCAGATAAAGCCTTGGCACAGATTACGGCTTTTATAACGCGAAAACTTTGACTGTAACTCTAAGAAATGTGAGTAAGCTTGTGCGCAAAGAAGATCACTTATTGAATAAACCTCCAAATCCTATGCTTTCGGAATAAAGATTTCAATAAATTTCATTCCGTGACCGGCGAGTGTGGGAATGTTATCGCTAATTCCCTGGAGACATTCTAGGCCGTAATCTAATTGGTCGGTCCTTTTGCATGAGATCCCATTACATCTCTAGACAAACACAGAACATTTGCGACCGTTGAATGAAAGGCGCAAACATTCTAAGTTTTTTTGCATCTAGTTCTGTTTCGAGATGGAAGTTCTGTTGAAGTTTTTGGATGGAACAGCTCAAACGTATTTGCAAACAACGCACTGAACAGTGACTTCTACGCTAAGTATCGACGAATCGAACCAGAGCAAGCAACACAGATACAAGAATCTCAGATGGGGTTCGCACTTACAAGATTCTTATATGCTCGTGGTAATGTTCGTTCCTTAGTCCATTAACGACGACCAAAGTAAAATTGGGTTGATTTCTTTCATGAAAAAAGTGTAGAAGATAGTGGATCATGGACGAAACGTCAAGGTGAGCAATGTCCAGCTTAGCCCGTTGCAACGAATCAAAATATCATTTGCCTAATGGCCGTGCATGTAAACTTTATGTAGAACAATCGATGTTATTCTCTTTATTTTTAAAAAAGATAATTTTCAATGTCTGCATGTTAATGGGTGTTCTTACATTCAGATGAGTGACCGTGATTGCTAAATATTTACAAAGCGAGACTGTTGCAGATTTGTTCTATGTCACGTGCTTTTGTAACGTGTACGCGTGGATACTAATAAAGTATAAGTTGCATTTTGACTTTCTAGTGGTTTTTACTCTGCTACTAAGCCGGTTTAGGCAAATGCCATAATTCTTTGAATTTTTGTACACGTTTGCAGCTATTTGGCAGCGCTGACAGCGTTTTTGTGTGTCCTTTCCACCGCTGCTAAACCGCTGCTTATCGCTTTCAAACGGCTTCATAGCGCTGCCCCGAACAGCCAAAATTTGCGACTGCTGCAGCCAGCCTCTTTGCAGCTATTCTGCAGCGCTTCTTGAAGCCATTCTGCAGCGCTGCAACAGCGCTGCGCGTTTCGTACGGGGGGGACAACATGTTGCAAGTGCCCATTTAAGTCCTACTAGCTGCGGATTAGTTTCTCATTTGACCCAAGTTTAACTTCGTGATCATGGCGCATGAAAATAGCCAACTGCATTGTCTCTGACCCATTGGGATTTTAAATCATGTTTATTGGATCACAAGTCTTTTGTCTCAATATGATTATCTGAGTGGAGTGCTTGTAAACTACATATAACTTCAGTAGCACTTTTACTATAAACGATATACTTAATTTTTGTAAAAATCATTTATTTCTGTAAAAATAAGTACTTACTTCCCAGGTCACAGAATCCACCAGCTAAAAGCATCCGTTCCATTTTTCCTGAGTGATTAGAGCACACCAACTTGCGACGCACACCAATACCTTGTGCAATGAGGGAGATGCCCTTCTTTCTGTCTCCAGCAAGAAAAGTGCAAAGCCCTAGCTTACACTTGCAGTGACCTTGACATTCTGTGTCATAAATTCCGAGATCAATTTGCAGATCATGTGCCTTTTGGAGGTTCATTTTGGCTGTTGTGCGATGGGCATCTTTGTAGCTATAGTAACAAAGCTGTTTGAATCCAATGGACACAAGGCACTCACTGTAAAGAGTTTTGTCAGGCAACGTTTCTGCAACCTCCAGAAACTTGTCATATGTTGATATAAATTCATCCTGGTTCATGACTTTTGCCAGGAAATTCACAGTCTCTGTTGACACGCTAATTCCATAACATTTTAAAACTTCATCCTCTGTTGATGCTGAAAGGGCATGAGCAATGTTTGCTTTGTTCATCTGATACTTGTCTATGGCAACCTTGCAGTTAGTGGTAATGAAATCATCATTCAGCTGTTGTAGAAGAGCGAGATAATGATACGAGAAAAGCCTGATTGCCATATTGTACCCTTTACACTCATCCTCTCTGCATGCAATGCAAAATGCTTGCACCAATGGATGCAAACTATACTGCTGATGATTGTCAACTTCTTCTTCCTGAACCACTGAGTGAGACACTAAACTGTTTAGTAAGATTTGAAAATCCAAGTAATCATCTTTGCAAAACAAAACATTCTTTGCCTCCATTTTGGTGAAAACAGATGGAAATGCAGCTAGCCAAGAAAGACCCTTTTTCACTTCAGGTCGTAAATGGTTGTAGAAAACCTTAAGAAGGGAGAAAAATTCTTGAATGTTAGGATCCTTTACTTTCAGAAAACCATGTGAACAGTTTTTAAGCTTTCTGTGAAGATCTATGGGATCAATTGTCTTGCTTTCCAAGAATGATGCTGTCAATTTCAAAAACAAAGGAACACCACCACACACCTTTGGGTTTGCAAAATGTCTTGCAAGCTGGTCTGAAATGTTAGGAGCATAATGTTTCAGAAAGAAAAATGATGCTTCATCATCTAAAGGCTTCAGAGGAATGTGATGCTTTTTGAAAGGAAAATCAAACACTGACAATGGATTCCTACTTGTTATTAAAATAACAAGATTTTTTCCATGTTGACCAACTTCCTCCAAAAACTGATTACAGGCAGACTTGCTTGCATTTTGCAAGTCCTCAGCATTGTCCAGGACTAGCATGGTTTCTTTTTTAAGGGATGAGAGGAAACTTTTTACTTGAGCGACAGGATCCTTGTCAACTGCGATGCCTATCACCTCGAGCAACCTCTTTGCCGCACCGTCTACAGAGTCCACTCTTCTTAAGGAAACATACAAAACATCTTTTCCCTTTTCTAGCATCTCATGGCCTACAGTAATCGCAACAGCTGTCTTTCCAAATCCAGGGGGAGCAATCAGAGATACGAGGGTTGTTTTTAGACAAGTCAGCAACCCTGAGATTTCCTCACAAACATCTGACCTGCCAACAAATTTAGGAACCTTGTTTGGGAGACCAAATGACCTTGATGGGCTTAAATTTGCTCCTGTGCTGGATTCTCCTATAAAATAATACCAAGGGATGCATATAATGTTTGCATGGTTATGTTATATTATAGTTCATTCAAATGCAATTCCACTTGTAGATACCTGGACCCCTGGTTACACCCCTGTTATCAATATTACTGATGAACTCAAATGATGAATTAACCAATCCTGGTAAACAGTGGTAAGGAATATCCCTCACAAGCAAAATGAGACAGGTTTTTGGATTTTTTTTGTTTGTTTTTGTTGTTGTTGTTGTTTTTTTTTTCTTACTTTTCATCTTTCTTGGCTTCTTTCCCTTTAATCCTACTGCCCACCATTAACCTGAGCCTGCTACAGCACTGTACATGTAAGTTCTGCACATACATGTACTGTATTTTTTTTATAGTAGATCATATTCAAATATTCTTTATTGTGCATGCATTTAATTTGCCAGTCTTCACCTTGTTGTTCAATAATCAAGATAAAGGCAAGGTACAATGGCCTCCCGCTAGCCTCCAGAGTAGGCAAGCTAGCTTCCAATGCAGCCAAGCTACAATCCCAGACAAAAGTAGTTGGGAAGGTTGTACAACCAGAAACTCATAAGGGAATGAAACGTGTAACTCGCGTTCAATGCTCGTGAACATTCACTTTTACCACATTTGGAAACCCTAGTGACGGATATCTATCAGTTCAACAACATGGCTGCCGCGCGATCACCATGCACATGTTTTAAGACAAGAGTTCTGCATTTCAAGGTTAAAAATACACCATTAAAAGACAAAAAATGGAAAGAGAAAGTTCAAAAGAATGCTCAGCTTTCTTTTTGTGGAGGAAGGGAAGCTTTTCATCAAGAAATTGTCCTTCGAGGAATTGAACCTCGTTTTCTTCACGGCGGAGCGCATGGTTTGTTTTGAAATGCAACCAACGCAGCGAAGTTTTTGCTGAATGTTCGGGTACATTTTTTTGCACTCTATGGCCGAGACAAGAACGTTTTTGAAAGGGAATTTATGTATTTTTAATTTTTTCATAGACGTTTTATAAATTTTTGTCTTCGGCGCTAATGAAAAATTACAAAATGTGCCCCGATTTGAGATGGAATTTGTGTTGAATTTTGCCATGTGCTTAGTCGACTTCACTTGCGTGAATGGATCCACGATCCAGATAGTGTTTCCTGAATTGCTTTAAACTGGATTAACTTTTTGGATTTTGAATAAAGATTTTCAAGAAACGGCTTCTCTGTCTATTGTTTTGACTTTGTTCATTCATGAAATTAGCTCAAAACACGATCGTGACCACAACATCCAAGCTGAATTTAAGCTTAAAATGCTTCTCACATTACTTACACGAATCACATTTTGTGAAGATGTCAGGTTCAGTCTTTTTTTGATACGCAGCTAATGAATTTTTTTACTGTTTATTCTAGACTAGTAATATAAGAATTTTAAAAGCCTATTTGCAGTATAAGTTTACTTTGCGAGGGGGACATTGGGGGGTACCCAATACCGCAATACCGTAAGAAAAAATGGCAAATACCGAAATACCGCGTCGAAAATCGTCTAAATACCGATACCGCATATATTAATCTTATTCATAATCGGTTCCGCATACTTATGGAGGCTTCCATCTAGCGCGTTTAATTATCTCAGGCATTTATGCACCAGATGTCCATGTTTTTTTTTAATATTTTGGTAGTTGGCAAATTTTGGCAAATTTTCACTGAAAACTGAAAAGAATCTTTTGGTAGGTCGAAAATATCTAAAATTATTCCTATCTTTAAATCTGATAACGCTAGCCTAGCACAAAACCCAACAGCTAAAATTTTAACTAACTCCAATGACATATTATTTAAAAATAACTCTTTGATTAATTTTTGAAAGTGCGAAAAAAAACTAAAACAAACAAACCAACCAAAACTCTTTCCACGCAGCACGTCTAGTGCGAGTTTTGGATGAGTCTATAAGTCAGTATCTCAGAGGTCAACTATCTCGACTGTCTCACACAAGGCAGATAATTTTAGAAAACGCCGCGCTGGTAAAGAGGCTAAAACTTACCAGATTTTCTATTTTAACTTCGTAAGGCGTTTTCAATTCTCGAAACCCGACATCTAAACTATTTCTTTTTCAAACTTTCTTGCGATAATGCTCGCCTCCTTCGCCCTCTTTTAGTATATTCAAGCGTGTGATCAAAAAAATTGCCACACTTTATTTCTTAAAAAGTCAATGATGGCCACGCCGTCTTCGCCGTCTCAGCGACCTCAGCCATTGTGAGAAAACGTTTGTAAGACCTCAGAGGAATTGCCGGTACAGGTATAGTCTAGTGGGGAGGACCGTTGCATCGCCGGCGACACTAAAAACGGCTGTACAGGTAGCAGACTGGCACACGTACACAGATCAAAAAGCCTGGTAAGGTAACTTGAGGCGACTCATTGCCATTGGATGCAACAACAATCACATGGCATATTATCGACCATTAATAACTGTCACAAAATGACCCACAATGGTTTAATGATTTACCGTTATGTCTCAAGACTTCTAAATATTAACTTTTATTGACCTTTTTGTCCTACTGTGTTTGGTTTTGCGTATTGTATCGAAAGGAAAGCGCAAATAAACGGTACCGTAATACCGTGAACAATCTTATTTCACCGAATACCGTCAGCCAAAATGATGAAAAACCGCATACCGCAGAGCTAGATGATACCGCAATACCGCACGTTAAAATTAAAATTACCGAAATACCGCATGAAAAAAAGCCCAATACCGCAATACCGTAAACCCCCATGTCCCCCTCCTTTGCAGAGGGTCAACGAGGCATAGTTTTTTGAAGTGACAACTTCTAGAAGTTGCGAGGACGCCAATGGATTTCATAATGTTACGTTTATCCCAGGGTGGTAAGGCAATAATATCCTGCTCAGTAGTTCGGTAAGATTCCTGGTTTCAACCTTTGAAAGCTTTCTCGGCTTTCGGGAGTTTTTCCCCCGTTTATCGGCAATTTTTTTTCAAGCGGGCGCGGGAACCTGAAGTAAAATTACGTCACGTTGTTTGCGAAGTTTGATTGGTCAGTTGTCTCTTCTTCTCGTTCCAAATATGGTACTTTTGAAAATGAATAATCACGAGCATCCGACAAAGCAAACATATGAGAGTTACACGTCTCAACCCTTATGAGTTTCTGGTACAACTTAACAGTTGTTCATTTCAATGTTCAAAAAGATGGTTTTTCCTTTTATTATTACCCCCCATCCACCCACATTCAATGTTGGGACCACAACAGAACAATAATACCTGCACAAACATCAAAGTTTTGTTCAACATTGAGCTAGGAGTGGGGGGAGAAAGAAAAAAAGGCGGGGTGAAAAGTAGCTGCCTTCCCAACACTTTTGATGATATGTTTGTTGTTCAATGGTCTGGAACTTGCTCTCCCTGTTTCACTTTGCTATTTTACGCACATCATTCACGCACCCACACGAACCACGTCAATCAGAAAATACAAGGATTTGAACGTTTACAAAGACGATGTCTTTTTGCTCCCACGCTCAGTCTTAGGCGTGGAGGTTTTTACGTAGAAGCTACTGCAGCTTTCCAAAAATCAAAATGACTGGGATCAATCGAGCGGTTTGTCTCCATGCTGTTTTGTGGCACTACATTAATGGCACCCACGATTCTCGATCTAACTTACAAAATTTTATTCAAACCGAGATTAGTGGAGATATTAGCCTCACATAATTAATATTTATCTTTTTAGTTCAAACAATCAAATGCTAAGGAAATATTAAAGCGACAAACGCTCATTCATACATTGTAACGCCCTCTGCGTTGATTTTGATTTGATCAATGAACGTGATCGTTTACCGTAAGCTTATGATTAATTTACCTGTCAACTTATCCGCCAAAAACCCCTGGCCAGAAAGTCTGAGAGCTTGCAAGAAACTTTCAAAGGCACTAGGGCCTTTCCGAGGAAGCTTATCCAACAGCAAACAGCATTTACCGAATCTTGACGTTTCTGCGTGTATTTCCTCTCTGTCAGTTTGGTCCAAAACTCCTTCGGCAAAGAGTTGTTCGACAACTCTTCTTTCTTGCAGGTTGTCCGTGATTACAACCCGATGAGCCCTCAATACATCTCTTTTTGACTGTTCCATCTCTTTTTTGCAAGAGAACAAGTTTTAGTAAAATACTTCTGAACAAAGCTATTTATCGAAGCCGAAGGACGAGCGACTAAATACAGGAATGGCTCCGACCTGTAATTGGAGGATAAAAAAAATTAACGCTTATCTTTCAGCCACGCGTCACACTGGACAACGATATCAGTAACGTCGTTGTGATGTGTGACTTCTGTTTCGTCTTAGGCAGTGAAAGAAGCAAGAAGAGCTTCACCGAAAAAATAAAATTCAAAATCAACTCAAATAAAAAAGTCGATAACGGGATCATTACTGATTACTTATCTGACTGTCGCTGGTGATTAGCGATACGGGGTTGTTTTTAAATGATCTGTTTTTTAAAAAGTTTTTGTACCGGATTGTTTTTCATCCGACAAAACTTGAACGAATCAATTTATCGAAACTAAAAATAGCTTGCTTGCGTCCTTGATATATAAGGCCTAAATTTAAAACTTCTCACAGGTAGCTTAGTGGACATTATCGATTGATTGATAAAGTCAACATAAGTAGTCAGGTGCCCGCCTCAGTGCATACGATAGGGATGGGGGGTGAGGAGAATGAAAGCATTTTCTAGGGGGATTCGGCACTTGAACATGCTTTTGTTAGTCTTGTATGCATTTCTTCTGCCTTTACCTTTGGGTAAAGTCTATACCCGTTTTCAGACCAAAACGGCTCGATAACCCGTTTCCTTGGGGTGGCACATACCTATATGGTTATATAAGGAAGTACCTCCCAGGGCACTTTTCTGATGGTCCCTCCTCAAAATAAAGCTAACTCAGTCAAGAAAAGCCACTGCTTTGCCATGATTTGCATCCCCCGGCAAAAACTAGGTCAAGACACAAAATACACCGCCACACTCGGACTTTTTTTCCCGGTTTATGATAAATCGCTTTCTTTTCTTTACTCTGATGAACGCCTGTAGGACCTATAATTGAACTAGTTTAGTCCCTAGAGGTTAATTAAGTAAGAAAGGTCACATGACTAAGCTAATACACAAATAATTTATAAGGAAAACAGTAGACTCAATGCAAAACTGGCCACTAGTTGATGAATATTATTTTGCTCATGGTTAAATTTGCTTTAATAACTTCATTCTTAAATTCCAAAAGTTAAACAAAAATGAGTTATCTCATGCCAGGCTAGTGAGGCTAATTTTAATGTATAAAACGGACTATTCGATTTCATAGGTTTTCTGCATTGTTCGATCAAACATCTCAGTTGTTGATTCTTTTCACTCATACGACTGAAGCAATTTTGTTTGACGAACTGCAAGCATGCACGACTGCCTTTAATCAATGCTGGGGTCCTGTACATAAAAAAGCCTTTCTACACTTTAGTCTATCTCCTCTATGTGGAATTTTCTTTCTTCGAGAATTTCTTCGGTGGTAGACAGGTGGTACAAATCCATTCGTCAGGCTCTTCCTGCACATTGGCACATTCCCTTGAGCAAAAAAAGAATTTAAGAAAAATGAAAATAGAAAGTTAGAAGATGCCGTCCTTTTGCCTAACCTTTCAAATTTAGCCATTGTAAGATTGCCCTGTGCACAGATGCCCTCTACACTCCAAAAAGATTTTTTAACCCAAGAAAAAAACATTCTCAAATTGACAAAAAATATAATCTTCAAAGCAGAGCTTTTGGAACCCATCTTGATCAAGATTGCGGTTATTCACAGCCTCGTTTTGATGAGACTGTAATTTGGTTATTAAAAGAAATTCTAATGATTGAAAAAGATCGCACATATTTATCTAATATCTGGGAGGTATTTCTAGTCGGAAATGACTAGTTTAGTGAGGTAGTTAGCAAGCTTTCTTTTCCCAATTCAGACCAAGTGATTTCCCTTTTGTCTTTTTGTCTGCTATGCGCAAAACAAACCAACTAAAGCGGTCTATTAAAGAAGTGACCTCACCAATCAAACCAATGTAAACAGCTGTCACACCGGATCATATCCATGTACCTCGACTGCTGGCATAAATGACATGACCAAGACTCCTTCAACTGGCTCACTGCAAAACAAAGATTGCTACGTCACTTGTCAACATATGTTCGCACATCGCAGCTTGTCTTACTGATATTCTGTATATCGTTCGTAGTAATAAATTTTGCAGAACTATGGTTATAATCGCGTCAGAATCCCCCCCAACCCCTTAACCTCAACTACTTTATTTTTAGTTTCGATAAATTGATTCGTTCAAGTTTTGTCGGATGAAAAACAATCCGGTACAAAAACTTTAAAACAGATCATTTAAAAACAAATCAGGGACGGACCCTTATGGGGGGCGGGCGAAAATAAAAAAAAAAAATTCGCGCAAGGGAAAATTAAATGAAAAAAAAAAAATTCATGCACGCCAATTAACCCTAAAAATATTCATGCAATGGCCTAAATAAAATTCATGCAAAGAATCTGATAACAGACTTTTCTAATGGTCGGTCCCTAATCATCAGCGACAGTCAGATAAGTAATCAGTAATGATCCCGTTATCGGTGAAGCTCTTTGCTTTTGTTATTTATATCATCTGGTCATGATCGCCCAGACCCCACCCCCACCCCGCCTCCCACACCACACACCATCATGTGACAAGTCTCTTTTTATGCAGATCGGAGCCAGTCCTGTACATTGACCCGTCAGCGGTTTAAATACAGGAATAGCTCCGAGTGTTTGAGTCCGAACTGAACGCTGTTCGCCAAAGCTGTGACAATTTCCTATCTCTGTTGGTACTGTTTAACACTAGAAAAAGGTTCTGCCGATGTAAGCGAAATTTTAAGGTTCATACATCGACTTCTTGCTTCTTTCACTGCCTAAGACGAAACAGAAGTCACACATGTACATCACAACGACGTTACTGATATCGTTGTCCAGTGTGACGCGTGGCTGAAAGATAAGCGTTAACTTATTAATTACTAACTATTTTTATCCTCCAATTACAGCTCCGACCTGTAATTGGAGGATAAAAATAGTTCGTAATTAATAAGTTAACGTTTATCTTTCAGCCACGCGTCACACTGGACAACGATATCAGTAACGTCGTTGTGATGTGTGACTTCTGTTTCGTCTTAGGCAGTGAAAGAAGCAAGAAGTTATCTCCATAACGCAAAAAACGTGACAAAATCGGACGCGAGCTTCCACTTTTCGGTTTTTCTGAGCGTTGAAGCCTTTGAAATTCTATTCTTTCTCGCGCATTTGTAATCTTGAGTAATGCTTTTTGAGAAATTTGTAGACTGCAATTTCTCCTGTGTCTTCTATTTGTGATTGGGCGCAGTTGTGATTTTCTTCACCATCATTCATGTTGTCAACGTGCTCTTCCACTGAATAGCCCCACAAATTTTACTTTTTCTCTCCTTGAGTAAGTCTCCATGTAAAGACGTTGCTTCTGGAGCTCGCAGACATCCTGTTGTAACCTGTTTTCAAGCTTTAAGTTGGATATGTCCTCCTCATTAAATTGGACGCTCTCTTTCAATTCATTGACTGTTGAACCAACTGATTGGACTTTGTATTGAGATCTTCGACTTCCGAATCCAGCCTGAATCCAGCCTGCAATTATCAGCTTTTTCAATTTTTCAATACTTGCTTCGTTCAGGGGCGATATTGCATTGTTGAACATAGTATTTGGCTCGAGCGGCATATTTTTTCTAAAAACTTTTCAGATTTCCTAGTTATCAGTGATCCGAAAATTTTCCAATTTTTTTGGAAAATTTCAGCCAGGAAAAGGCTCCCGAAAATTCTAGGTGGCCTTTTTTAGGGTAAATATCCGTTTAAAATGGGTAATTATACCACTTTGTAGATGTTCGAAAATCCTAGGAGAGGCAGGCAAGCAAGAAATTTTACAACAAATGTTCCGAAAATTCTAGTTCTCAAATCGTCTTCCGAACAGATATTTTCCCTAAAATTGCCGTTGGGTGCCCCTGTCGTTCCTACACCTTGCGCCATTTCTAAAGCTTCGAACGCTTTGTCGGTCTCCGAAGCAGTCGGTGCGCCTTTACTTCGTCTCTCGATTTTTTTTCATCTGAAGATGGCGAAGAATCTTTGGAAGCTTTTGACCGGTTTTTGCGTTTATCCAGCATTAAAAGACTATAAATTTTCCACGACGATTCAGGAAGCTCGGCGAAACACGTTTACTCGCCCATGTTACCAGTCTCTACTCATTAACTTGACTGAACACGATGAATTTTGACAAAATAAACCGTTAACTTAATCGTTAATATGAGCGGATAAAAAAAGACACTGCTCACGTTCTAATACGACTGATTGCTGTTCTAGGCCTAGAAGGCCACGAAAAATTGCCCACTTTAAGGCCATTTCTAAAGCTTCGAACGCTTTGTCGGTCTCCGAAGCAGTCGGTGCGCCTTTACTTCGTCTCTCGATTTTTTTTCATCTGAAGATGGCGAAGAATCTTTGGAAGCTTTTGACCGGTTTTTGCGTTTATCCAGCATTAAAAGACTATAAATTTTCCACGACGATTCAGGAAGCTCGGCGAAACACGTTTACTCGCCCATGTTACCACCCGGGTCTCTACTCATTAACTTGACTGAACACGATGAATTTTGACAAAATAAACCGTTAACTTAATCGTTAATATGAGCGGATAAAAAAAGACACTGCTCACGTTCTAATACGACTGATTGCTGTTCTAGGCCTAGAAGGCCACGAAAAATTGCCCACTTTAAGGTAAAGTAACCTTTAAGAGTCTTAGAAGGCTATACGAGGAAAGAAAAAATTATCGTTAAGACAAACTTACCGCACTAAGAGTAATCGACAAACTGCGTTGCAGAATCCCCTGGCAGAATAGAATTTAATTATAAATTGCCAGCTCGTCACTAAATTAAATGACATCAAGCCATTCAGTCGCCCATTATTGAAAGACGTACAATTGTTCGAAACACCTCAAAAATACCATGCCTAGTTCATTTGTCTAATAAGAGATCTATTTCAAGCTAACTGGAGATTCAGTTGTTCTAAGTTTGGTAAAGAAAATTGAAAATGAATGTACCGTTGCATATGCATGCAGAGTATTTCTTACATCGATCGTTGGATAATAATTTGTTTCAGTTTATTTTAATGTTCTTGCATGGCTGCACTGTAAGGTAACGTTCACGTTTGCCTAACTAAAACGTGTTGCTAGGAAACTGGCAAATTTTCATCAATAATTTGTTCGTTACTGTAGCATTTTCAAGACAGCCGGAATGCGTTAAAACCCCATTTTATATTAAGTGAATCTCTTATCATTTTCGAACGTAAAATGAAAGCCTTCCTTTTAAATCAATTTTTAATGTCACAAATTTATATGTAAATAGTTTCTTAATAGTTTATTGATAATCAATTTGTGATGTCATAAATTCTATATGCAAATATTTTCTTAATAATTGTTTATTGACAATTCTTGAGTAATTTTTTTTGTTGTTGTTTGTTTGTTTTTTTTATCACCTGTACTATTAATATTTGTCTCTGAAAAGCCCCCATGGGGAGTTGACAATAAAATTTGTATTGCATTGTATTGTACAGCCTCCCTTGTAGCGCTCCGATCCCTTTCTAAACCATCCCCTCCAACCTTAACTCAATTTCAGCGTAACGTGAGTAGCCCTAGCGCATAAAAGACTTCTGTAGGGGCCTTGCCAAAAAATTTAAGCAAAATGATAATTAGAAAGTTCTCTAAGGTAATCTTCATTAATGAGTTTCTCTTACTGCCCTTTTTTGTAAACATTAAGTCTGCCTTGATGTTTTAATAAATTGAAAACTGCTCGATCGGTGAATCTCTTTCTCTTTAAAATTTATATAACAAGGGGGTACTCCCCATTTTGTGTGCTGCATGTGCGGCTTATGCCGCAACGACAGGACAAAGCGCCTTTGTTTTCATTATCATTTCTGAGGTACAGACAGGGGGGGGGGAGGAGAGCAAAGGGACAAACATGGAAATGAAAAGTTCTATGGTAAAAGTCAAAACAAAAACAAGCCAAAGTGTTTCTTCATTCCAGTTTTATTCATTTGCAGTATCAGCGACGCGACATCCACCGGCTTCAGCTGTTGTCAATGGGCATGGGTAATAATGGCATGAGCATGATCAACCTTGAAAAAAGAAAATAATATTTACAAAAAATAGTTCATTTTACAGTTGTGGGTTTAGTTCCCTAGCCTTTGAATGAACGTGAAGGTAACTTTCACAATGTTTCGATACAAACCTTTCTTTTTTTAATGAACAAAATTGCCCAGTATGAGAACAACATGATTTACATAATAAAAAAGCAGGAAGATTTTTGTCAAAACAAGGTCAACTCCAGCCTCGTCTCCTCCTGTACCTATAAACTTCAGGATTTAAAAGTTGTCCAAACTCCTACACAGTCAGAGAAAGTCTTGGATTGTTATGGAAAAGGAAAAAATCCCCGAAATGGCATCAAACCAAGGCACCGGTCAGGTGGATGCCTTTTAGTCTACTGCATGGAGCTACGAAGAAAGCCCATGGAGAAAGAGGCCGTTTACTAGTCCCTATGCGTAACACTCATGCTGGCCTCGGTTGTCATCAGACGTTGAATCACGGAGCTATCCACCGAATAAATCACTATTCAGCGGATAAGTATAAGGGAAAGCAGTTGCACTATATATTCGATAGAGATTTATCCACCTTTTGAACAAGTCGAGCCAGTTTACCATTTTGTATGATCAGCAGTCAGACTGTAGACTACAGAGGCAGACTGCGGTGTACAGCGGTTTTCCGTGACTAACATCCGGGACTTGCAGCGGGAACTTATTAATATGAGAGAGCGCGTGAAAAGTGGTGCAATGAGTGTAACGGCGGTCATTATGAAGGGTCCATTATCGTATCTCATTGTTGTATTGGTAACTCAGTGTCTTAATTTTACAAGCCTCTGTGGCGGGGATATACTTGACAGACATGTTAGGTGTTGCACTTAAAATTGAAGGCAAGGCTGATCGGACAGCTAAGGGTTGATAATTGTCAAATTTATTTGCTTAACATTTCTACTAGACAAAACTAGTCTTCACCAGGGGATAGAAAACCTAAGTGGTTAGGTGTTAGGTGTTGCTCGAGCATACCGTATAAAGACCTGATGCCTTTAATGTCATCATCGTGTAGCTTCGGTGTGCCCCGACTGGCAGTTGGCCACATCACCGATCCTTTGACATTTGAGTGACGAAGCCCCAAAATATGACCTATCTCGTGAACTGCCACGTGAATCAGACTTTTGGCTCCCCAAATGGAGCCTTCTTCAGTGAATTTTTCGTCGTCGTCGAAATGCAGTCGACCATTTTCGGGGAAGAAAGCATGGGCTAGCACTAATCCTCCACCAAAAATCCCGGATTTACCGTCAAATGGGTCGTAACACTTGCCTTCACCTGGAACACCATAATGTTCCCTTCTTCCAAAACTGTTAAATAATATTCATTGAATCAAATTTATATTACAGAAAGGCTGAATTGGTCGCCCACTTCCTTCCTAAAAGAGATTCTTTTCAGCTGCATGGGGAGACAAAAGGTTAATATTAATTTTCAGTTTCCATTGTGCTTAGAACGGATTGGGTCTCAGAAATAGTACATGCCAACTACTAGTTTGCTTAAAAAATTACTTTGTTAGCTTATTAACCTAGCCAGAGCTGTTATTATCTAACATACTTTGACTAATGTCTTGTACCTGACTTTTATGTCTGCCTCACTGACTCTGAATGTCCTGGTAAAACGAAGCTTTGGTGCTGCGTCACTCCACATTTTAAACGCTTTGGCGATGATTCTTGCCTGTTTGCTCTCTGACATGTCGTCACCGTACGTCATGTAGTATTTCAAAGACGTTTTGCGCCATTTAGTCCACCAAGTAGAGTATCTCTTCACACGCATGCTATTCTTGCCTACAACCAAATCCTTAACTCCACATCGAGGCTTCCTCATCTCTTTCAGCGTCCTCTCGTCAAGCCTTCCAGTCACGGGAAGACCAAAGAATTCCTGAAACTTTTTGATCGCCGAGATAGCATCATTACTGCCTGATCTGCCGTGCGAAGTGTACCCAAAGTTGGAGAGATAATTCTGAAAAAGAAGAACAGTGTGAAACATCAATCAGCTGGGCTGGGTTGTTCAAGACGTTCAAAGCTGGGTTGGGATAACCCAGGGGGTTACTACGAAATTTGAATTTAGATATGAAAGGAAAAAAGGAAATACCGTTTAATTCTTTTTGTCTACAATATGACGATTGGATGATCGTAAAAGTACAGAGAAAGTTACCCGCGAAAATGCTTTCGAATAAAAGAAAAAGAAACCCAGACTAAAATTTAACCTTAAGTTAGCGCTAATCAGCGGCCTTAGACCAACTGGGCCCTACAGGTGGGTAAAGCATGCGGATAACTCGCCTGACTTAAAACTGATCCTTGAAGACTCGTCCAAGGAAAATCCCAAAGTTTCTTTTGAGATTTTGGTCTTTCGAAAAGTGGTCGTTACATTCTTCGAAAGGCACCACCCAAATGTTGTTTCAATCAGTGCCTCAAAGCTTACAGATCCAAAATGGCATTAATCTGGAGTCGTACGACGTCGTCAAAATCATTAAATTACGTTTTTTTGCGCCATTTATTAAATGGCAAAATTTTATTGTCATTACTTTATAATTAAGATCAAAAACTTGCCAACGATTGCCTCTCCATGTCTAACTATACCCCAAAACTCCATTCGCCTGTAATATAGCTCCAGAATATCAACTTTTATCAAATTCACGACTTTTAAACTTAATTACAGGGGTGGAAGTAAGGACAATGGGTACAAATAAGATTGACTCTTGGATTACTGACCACTTTTACAGTGAGTAATTCTCTGATGGCGAATAATAACGATCGGTATTCAGAACTTCTTAGTACGCAACTTAAACGAATACGCACGTCTCAATTAACGTTCCTATTTTGGCCATCAGCCGTAACTTGCTCTGTGGTCCCAGCCAAGCTCAGGCACACACAAGAACCACTGTATTTTTAACCTTAGTTGATACGGAGTACTCCTTGCTTAAATGGGCACTTTTTCAGTTACTTGTAAGGGCGTGTCAACAAAAGACGGACACATGACGGTATTTTACGTTGTGCAGCATTTCTTTCTTGCATTAAGAAAATCACAGAGCTTAATACAGGGCATCTGTTAAAAATTTTGCCGAGGAAAAGGGGCTTGAACAGGGCATCTGCACCAATTCCTAATGATATAACTATTACGTGTTCCCTCGGCGGCACGTTTAAAGCATGATTTAATTCGGGTTTCGCGCTACCAGATGAGGAAACATCTCGAAGTTAGTAAGTGCCTACTTACCAAAGCAAATTCTGTTTCGTCCTCTTCGCAAACTGCAGCCTGGAAGAGAAACAGCGACGCGAAAATCACAAGGAAAAACATCTTGAGCAGGTTTATTTTTAGTAGAGAGCTTGGGACGAGAGTAATAATGGAACGGCGGTAAATGGCTTCCTTTTATTTCATGAGTCATGCATAATGTTACGTTGGAGGAGCAGCTAAAATAACATTGTTAAGTGGACTGTAAATTAAATTTTAGCAAAGTTTATTCTTAAGCAAACATCGGGGGAGATTATTGCTAAGTGTAGATCAGTGCCATTGGTTTTTGGACAACACTGTTATTGAGTTTTCAGAGCTAATAACTATCCTATTAACCGACAATTCCTCTTACATAATTTTTGAGGTCGTCAAAACTTGTGAATAGAGGTAAAAAACAGCTGTGTAAAACTAATAAAATAAACATGCGGTTCCTCTCTCCGGGGCGGATCAAACTAACTTAATCAAATCTCTACAAAATGTACCAGGAAGAAATAATGTAAGTGTTGTTGGTGTACAATTTATCGGCCAGTCTACTTTGCATTAAAGACAGGAACTCGTAGTAACCTACAATGTATACCTAAAAGAAAGCACAGGCTAAGATTCAACCCTGGATTTGAAATTATTATTTGAATGAGAGGCGAAAAGATGATGCAGTTTATTTTTTTTAGTTTATGATTATTTACAAAATTATTGTGTTTGCTTCTAGCTATTCAAACAAAATTTGTGCAAAACTGAACGTTGCTCATTGACAAGACAGCAAAAAGTAGATTGATTCGAATTCATCAGTTTTGATTTTTAAATGATTTTAAATTCTATTTTTTGTTTATTATTATCACCTTTACCATGATAGATGTAACTGCGCAAATGTCCTCTCATTTCGCTTAACCATTTTTTGTCCTTGGGTTTTTTGAAGCAAAAAGTCTCTGGGTTCTGTGAGAAATTTATTGGTCCCCGAGATTTATTCCTAAGCCATGGGTTATTTTAAGACGATAAGTGTTAAAGTACTTGGGAGATGTTAAGAAATTTACTGGCTAATTTGGCTGTATTATACTGACCAATAATACATTTTCATCTTTAATTGGATCAGTGATAAAAAATGTACAGGATTCCGTTAACGCCCGGGAAACACATGCGTTTCAGACTTCCAAGGGTGAAATGAGAATCGGAACATCTACTGAACATGCTAAAATTTCAAGGACTCCTTGTAAGACTGTACTGTATTCTTCGTTGTAGGCGTCGAAAGGGGAAAAGGCAGAGAGGATTGGGGAGAGAAGTCTCTCCCTTTTTCTTATCGCGCTTTTCCTCCTCCCTCTCTTCCCCTTCCCCTTTTCGCGCCATGCAGGCTTACTCTACTGCATCATTACATACGCAGATTAGAGGGATGACCTGATGTGGAACGGCCACATTTTATTGCTAAAAAGTAGTTTTACAAATAAATCGCCTTGGTCCCAATCGTGATCAAAGTCAATCTAGTGACCAACGTCAAGTCTCCATGGGGGAGGGCGGGGAGCATTGAGTGACTCCGGCGCGAGTAGGTGTAACATTTTCCATACATGAAGAGAAGAGGTTGTGAGAAGAGATAAAATGATCACCTAGGGGGGAACGCTCTATCGAATCAAATTCTCTCAACTTATTCTTCAAGGACATGTAATGAAATCAGACTGAGGAATTTGCATGGGAATATTGAGGCTTAAAGAATTAAGAGAGAGAATATTACTCTCTCTTGGGCTTAAACGGTTTTAGCAGACACTCTGAGGGGAGGGAAAAATAACTGCTTTTAAGCCTTTTATGACCACCCAGAAGATACTCAACAAACTTTTATGCAGGGAAATCCTGCCTCATGTTCCAGCCCCAAAACCTTTCATATACCATCACTAGGTGAAAAAAGTACCCCTTTAATACACCTTCTATTGAAAAATAGTAACCCTTCCACTAGCCTGCAGACACAGACGTATTTCCGGTGGGTGGAGAGAAGCAATGACTGGAAACACTTCGGTGTCCGCAGGCTACTCTTCCACCTAACAATGCAATCCTTTTTTTAAGCCTTTCATATACTCCAACTTGTGAAGTCCTTTGCCTTTCATGTACCTGAAGTCTGAAAAAGGTATCCGTTTTGGATGGAACCTCCCTTACAGCCAACTATTCCTATGGAACACAAATCCACAACTTAAACAGAAAGTTCAAAATGATGTTGTAATTTCTTTTCAAAATCATATTTCACATGTAAAGAAATGCTTGCATTCCAGCATCTCATCTTGTAAGCATTCTGCACTTGCCTACAATGCTCAATTCTGTTCATACTCAAACTGAGTTTTTACAAACAGAACATCATACGCTGAGATCAATGGAATGTAAATACAGATAAAAATGACACCTGTGGACAATTTTTACATCAATGTATCAATAATAAATATAACAAATAATTCCAGGTTTTTTGTTATCAGCCACTTAGAGATAAGTAGGGGCCTGGAAATTTAAAGAAATTATTAATAAAGTTGTGTCAGTGGAAAAGAATTTCAATTTTAGCACTGGAGCACACATACCAACTCCGCAGTATGGCCACTACCTTACCCATGTGTACAGCCATATCACCCTGGCAGTGGCAGCCATGGAGAGCAGGGGGTCAATGATCACTACTGAGACCTCTTGCCTGGGGCTATGCCATGCTGATGAGTCCACTGAGGACAAAACAGTTGTCCATGACTTGCGTAACGTAATGGTCATACTGCGGAGCTGGTGCATGTGCTTCAGTGCTGAAATTGGTATTGTTCAGTAGAAAAGCTCCAAGTGATGTCTGATTAACTGCTTGATTCCCATACTGAACTGACTTGTGTTTTCATGCAAAACAAAATGAGGATTTAACGTTACATCAAGAGACATTTCAACCCTGTTCCATGCAACTACTCAAGTGCTAGAAAAATATCACTTAAATAATGGTCTGCCAGATAAGAGGCTGACTCTCATACACGTATGTACCTTATAAAAAGGTGGATGAAAATTCATTAAAACTAACAGTCTTTGGCATCAAGAAAAATAAAAAGATATATTTTGACATACCGTAAAATCCCGAAAATAAGCCCCTCCATGTATAGGCCCCTCCAAATATAAGCCCCCCAAACTCATAACGCAAAAAACCCTCTGTTAAATCGCCCCTCCAAATATAAGCCCCCCTGGGGGCTTGTACTTGGACATTGCCCTCAAATACAAAGTAAAACAAAGCAAAACAGTAAATTTCCTTTCAACTATAAGGCTAGCCCAATCGATTTTGAAATGCAAATTTCCCTCCATAGATAAGCTCCTCCGAATATAAGCCCCTCCAAAAATAAGCCCCTCAAAAAGGGCCTTTGAAAAATATAAGCCCCGGGGCTTATTTTCGGAATTTTACGGTATTATATTCTTGTAAATGATCTTTAAACCTCTGTATTTCAAATACCGATGTGGATAACTTCTTTTCATTCTTCGTATCCTATATCATTATTAGCGTCAACCTTATTGATTGCAGTATTATTCAAGAACTTTCAGACACAGAGGACACAATATTTAACACGCATATTTCCAACACCCTCCTAATTCACTAAATGTTTCTCAATTTAAGTTGATAACTTAATCTTTATTGAGTTCCTTTTCAATGTCTTTTTCTAAATCAAGAGGGGCCACAGTAGGTGCATATCGCTTCACAGGCACTCCATGTTTGTCACACAAAAACTTAGTGAAGTTCCATTTGATATTGTTTGTCAGAAAGCCATGTTTTGCATTCTTTAAGAACACATACAAAGGGTCTGCGGTGGGCCCATTAACATCAATTTTGCTGAACATATCAAACTTGACATGGTAGCCTCTTGCAAATTCCTTGATTTCTGCATCTGTGCCTGGTTCTTGTCCACCAAACTGATTGCAGGGAAAGGCGAGGATACGAAGTCCTTGCTCAGCATACCTGTGTTGCGCAATTAATGAAACATGAAAATGATGAAAGCAACTTGCTACATGTATTTGCATCCACTAATTAACAATTATTCCTCGAGCCCCAATGAGCTCTGAGTCACTAGCCTATGAGGCTGAAGGCCGAGTGGGCTATTGACTCAGAGGCCATGAGGGGGAGAGGAATAATTGTTTTAGTAAAATCCGACTAGTTGGTCAAAAATATCGCGACAAAACAACTTTGGTTAGCAAAACGTGATTCAGCCGCCATTGTTTTGGTTTTCAAAGCCGGCACTTTTTGCTACTGGTGGGCTATAACATATAGCCTAGTAGTAGCTCAAGCAATCAGAATGCAGCATTGATAACAGACCACCAGTTGGATTTTACTAATAGAGTTAGACTTGGTTGGATCCTTGATGAGGAGGGAAATAATAATCTTTACTTCATTCTAACAATAGCGTATATGATATGAAGTAACATTAATTTTCCTTTACAGTTAAGTTTTCTGCGTATGTCTTACCAATAATCCACCAAAGTCTACAAAATATATACTGAAATCACCAGTGACTCAAAAGACACTACCATTGTTTGCAATTACCCATAATTTAAGGCAAGCAACAAAACTCTTAACCATTATTTGTGCACTTACCAATTTTTTTCTGTGCCTGTTCTCTCTAGGTCCCTGTTGCTCATAAGATGGATTGCACTATCCACTGGATAGATCACTATCCAGTGAATAACTCATTATTTATTGGTTTCCCTGTAACTTATCCTCTGGGTAGCGATTTATCCTGAGGATAGTGCTTATATCCAACTTTTGAACAACCGGGGTCAGGTTAATGGTAAAAGAATTTTAAACAAAATATATTTACTGTTTGCTGTCAAAGAAGTAATAAAAATTTTATTGGAGGTTTCTAAACTTATGCAAAATCAAGAGAGAGAGAGAAAACTGCACTTGGTCAATTTCCTTCATTTTGAGAAGTCAAGGTATTACGTAAACCTTTTTCTATAACCTAGTATGGAATGGCTCCTTGAAATAATTTATAAATAAATTTAAACCGACAGCTGAATTAATGAACAAATATTCACAATAATGGTGTAAATAACTCAGAAATCCAAAATCAAGCTGGTTAAGGTTTAAGGTTATGCTTCATTCTTAAAATCATGTGATTTTGATCTGACCATGCTAAGATGTACAGCTATTACATAACAGCATGAAAGGTGCAGTAAAATTAAAAATTAGTTTCTGAAGAGACTGGCTCAGCTCTTAACTCAGTTAAGCAGCATTTCTGAGGTTCTAATGTTGAGTATAATTATTACAACTGAAAATTACTTCTCGTTCAGATGTCTCTTATGACGGTTTTACAAGGCGTGTGTTTACACAATATATTACTGTAAACTGCCCAGCTTTTGCATTCCCATGAAACTGTTTACTGTTCTAAGGAGGATATGTTTAAAAATTTAACTGCAAATGCTTTTAAATCAATAATTGTATATGTATATGTGCAAAACGAGAGTTCTTTTCCATGCCTTGGAGTGGAGCGTAGCGTAGCCTGAACATTTTGTTTAGTTAGAATTTAGTGGGCCGGGTATTCTGCAATCGTTAGCACTTTGACTGCTTAAATTATTCTCTTCTGACATAAATAAAATGGGTTGAAAATTAGTGAATTTTGATCGAAAGGCAGTAATTTTAGCAAACTCACTTGGAGTGCAGTTCCTCTAGCTGAGTGTAGTTTTTCTTCGTAAGACCTCATTTGGATGCCACGTTAACAATCAGCGTCACATAACCTCTGTACTTGGATAAACTCACAAGGTTCTCGTCAATATCTTTCACTTCAAAATCGAAGATAGTCTTGTGTTCCACTGCTCCGGCAGTCGCCATTTTCGTACCGTACAAAAGACCCAGAGAACCAAGGGAAAAAGCGGCGTACTTCACCAAACTATTCTTCGAATGATTCTTCAAACCACTGAGCAGCTGCCTGTTAAAACGAAACATTAACAGGCAGGCTTATTTTAGAAGATGACACCTGTAACAAGGGACGAAATTGGCAATCAGCGTGATTTGGCGAAACCAAACTACTTGATCAGCGGATGATGTCTTTGGCGAGGTGCATTATGTATGTCATTTTTTGGCGTCCTTCAATGAAGGAAAATTATTTTTTCTCTCCCCAGAGTTTGACAAGAAGGAATAAACATATGAAAAGAGTAAAAGGGAAGGGAAAAGAGCCTCTGGGAACCAGTTTGCAACTGGGTATACCAGACTCTGTTCTCCTCAGAGGTTTCCGCTGGGTATTCCAATAAAATAGCCGTCACTGGCACAAAGCAAGGAGGGGATACCAGTGCGGAGGAGGGATTAGTGAGCTTGAAGCAACAACGACCGCAACGGCTACGAAAACGTCAGTTGAAAAGGGTGTTCGCGCTGCTTCAAATACTATCACGCGTATACCATCTCGTTCAATTCGTGAAGTTGGCGAATTTTCTAGAGTTGAATTCTAAAGGAGTATATGAAAGTTTAGGAAAAGAAAAAGAGGGTCGTTCCGGCCGCCTTGTCAGACGTCCTCAACAAAAACGTGAAATTTGGCAGTTTCACGTCGCAGTCGTGCAACGACGGCAAAGTAATGTTCAAAAGAACGTGAAGTACGTGCAAAGTTTTTGTGTTGCCGATCTAAACCTCTTGCTTTTTTGCCGTTCTCGTTGATGGGGAGCTTAAGCAACAAGCGAAAGAACGGCGACGTCAACGAGAACGGCAAAAAGCAATTGGTTTAGATCGGTAGAACAACAACTTTGCACTTGCATCCCGCTTTTTTGTACATTTTTTTGCCGTCACTGCACGACTACGACGTGAAAATGCCTAATTTCACATTTTGTGGAGGACGTGAACACAAGGCAATGACTTTCTTCTTCTTTTTCTAAACTTCGATCCGGGGGGGGGGACTCCGCATATGAAAGGGGTGGGGATGCTCGTCGGAAATTTTGAATTAAACCCCTAAAGGAGACCGATCTGGGCGTGGCCCAAGCTTTTTTTGACCCCTAAAAGAGACCATGTTAAAACACAAACAATATATATTTTTCTATTTTTTTATGTGCAACCCTAAACGAGACCTTCACGGCTAAATATGATGGCGTTTTGCCTAGAACACCCCAAGTGAGACCAAAATCTGAAATTTACACCCCTAAGCGAGACGACGAGAATCCCTACCCCTTTCATATGCGGAGTCCACCCCCCGGGACTTCGATACAGTCTTTCAGAATTCAACTCCAATCTTTCTCCGCTTTCAAAACTAAAGATGGCAACTATTAACACAGGAAAATCGATTTTTACTTACAATTCCGATATCTTTGAGATATCTCTTAAACAGTGCCGGCAGGTATCATAAGGCCTTTGCCTTAAGTCATGTGGTCACGTGCACCAAACCAGAGGCCCACAACCAAACTGCATCAAGTCAACGCCTGGAACAACGCGCGACAAAAAGAAACTGCGAAACGTGAGGACTGGGGAAAAGACAAGTCACGGCTCCTACGCCATATGGAAAACCGAGGAAACACACTTTATTCTGGAAGAGAATTTATTTTCTCATTTTTCTCTCTCAAAGGTGAATAAACTAAAGTACTGGCATTCTCTCATTCTCTTTTAAAAAATTTTATGTACAACTTATTTACAATCTTTGTACAGTATATACCTGTCAGATGCACTGACTAGCTTTTATATGCACACAAAATCACTATGTACGGCAAGAAACTAGCTAGAAATACGGAGATGAATTGGAGCGATTTCATGATCATTGGCTCTCTATTGTTGAAACCTAATTTCATAACCGGCTATCGACTTTTTCTTTAAATCGTTTCAGTTCCTTTGCAATATTCTTTTCGCCTCCTAAACTTTCCATAAGATCGTGACCAGTTTCTCCGCCTGACTCTTTGTTCTCTGCGCTTCTTCTCCTTTCGGGTTTTGTTCCGAACAGATCCCGCGCAGTAGCAGCAGGTTTCAGTGAAGCAACACGAACCTCGTTGTATATTGTTTGCACCTGAGGGAAGCAAAATAATATGACGGGGGAAAGTGAGCTTTTTCTCAAGGTATAATTAGAAATTAACTAGCATAAGCTTCCAAACAACTGGCCTGAAAAAAAGGGCGAGTCTTAGATTCTTAAGTGCAGCCTCGCCTACACCCATCTTCTTACTGCAGATATACTTGGAACTTATAACCCCTTCGTCCCCTTAGATACAACCCCATAACGCACTCGCCCAAAACAGAATGCTACAACTGCCCTTCAAACAGGACCTTCCTTCTGTGTTCCGCGATCAACACTCTCTCCTTCTTCCTCATTTAAGGTGATCTAGCAAGACACTTCAGGCCCGCCGATTGCAAGGAAAACTGATTACCACATCATGTCTAGGCGATTTCTATTAATTCAAAGTTAAAAAATCAAGGAGTGAAAACGCGAAGGATTTTACTCACCTCATTTAAAAGCTTTTTGGCCTCCTTGTACTCTTGTTTGTGTTTAGGGTCTTTCTTGAAATCTTGAAGAGCGGTTGCTAAAGCAAAGCAAACAGAAAGTGACAATCATGTTAGTCAACCATCGGTTACTCTGGAAAAGTTGCTTTTTGGGTTACCTCTTCCGGTTGAGATGTCTGTTACTTTTGAAATATTGTGAAATTGTAAGATAGCGGCTGTTCACACTTGGAATCCGACCACAAGTGCCGCGCCTAGGACCGGCACAATATGGTGTAATCACAGTTTGGGTATCCAATATCTAACTGAATGCGGTTGCGCTGACAAGAAACTCACCTAGGTTAGACTCTTTTGTCTTGGATTGAACTCTCATTTTGTCCAAGATCCCACCGAGCTCTTCAACTTTACTTTGTCGTGATTTGGACCCAAATGATGTCGATATAGTCTGCAAAACAAGAACAAGAAACGTACTTCAATCCGTGGCATAACACATCAGTTTGCACACAAAAAGCAGTTACGAAGGTTATATTAAGAACTGACGGAGCTGACTGTCCCACTCAAAAAAACTCCGCCATTTTCAAGATGCGACAAAGAAAAAACAACAACAACCAGTTTTTGTATTGTGTACGAGTGTGTCAAGCGTTAATTAAACACGCTAGTTTTGAGATAGCCAACGGGATTTTTTCATCTAGTTTATACCTTTGTCTTTCTAATTCTCTGTTTTTTTGTACGCACCATTTGCCTTAAGACCCTAACACTTCCTTACATGACATGCAGGATACGATTTACCGTCTGATTATATGGGAGCTCCGCTTTTAGCTTTGCCTACGTGTCTATATTATAAGACAAAAAAGAGCAACAAAACAGCTGTCTGTATTGCTAAGGCAGCTTTGATTTAAAATCGACACATAGACTACCTCTGCCTTTTCCACTCTCTTTTGTTTGTATGTACCGTGCGACTCACTAAAGATTAGAGGGTGTACCAAAGCGTACAGGGTGTCCCAAAAGTTCGTTCCTCTAATTTCATGCACTATAACTATTGATCAAAACTTTATTTTAACATCAAATATCTACAAGATGTTTCTCTCTCTATCGAGTACATGTATTCAGAATTTCAGTAACTGGCACGCCCTTTTTGTTGTTGTTGTTGTTGTTGTTGTTGTTTTTATCACATTCTGTGGCCGTTGCGGCATGAAGTGGGATTGCATGTAGACCCACAGATGATCCATTTTGAGCTTTTTATCACCTGCTGCGCAGAAGCCAGTTCAGCCCCCCAAAATATTTGTTTAGTTTAGGCAGCTGAAAAAAAAAAATATTTTGGGCATTCATCCAAAAAAGATAATCAACCCGGCCCCCTTCCACAGCAAGGCTTTTGTACTTCTTTACAAATTTGAGACGAGCTGGGCGTTACTTAGCAGATTAAGCAGAGTTTTTTTTTTTTTTGCCATCTCTGGGGCCTCTAATTTTAGTAATTTTAAACATTTTAAACAACTTTTCATGATCCTGTCTAGACTTTGCTTGCTAACTATGTGAGTCGTCGAGTCTCCTGTTTTGTATCTACAATCGGCGGCAAAATGAGTTGGGACACTTCGCCCAAAAGTAGGCTTTTTTACGTTTTATGAACTTCAAAAGGAGGAAATATAGCTTTCCTCCCCCATCCCCTCCGTACAATGTTGGGCCCTTGTTCTAGCTACCTATAGAAAACAACAAACACCCCAACTTTGAATGGAGGGGACAGGGGAGGGGTGCGGATTCTTTTGTTCTCCGAAGTCACCCTATTTAAGTACAATGTCTCAACAATTTTGTCGCCGATTGTAGCCTTCTTAAAAACTATTTTAGCTGCTTTATTCAGGACTTTTGGTCTTCTCCTTCGTTTCTTGCCTTCAAAACCTTCATTTCTCCAAGATCATTTAATCACCCAGCATTCGGATTTTCCCAGTTTTTTAGCAGTTTCTTCAACAGATAAGCCAATAAATCGAAGTATACATGCTCATGCTCTCACGTAGCGGAACGTTTTTGCGTTAAGGGGGTTAATCTTTCGTGATATTCACAAAAAACAAGGAAAGAGTTCGAACAATTCGGGCTATAAAATACAAAAAATATGTGGCTGGAAAATATACTCGCGCACGCGCACCTTTCGCGCGGAAGTACACAAATTGAATATTCGAGTCAAAAGATAGCACAACAAGGATGACAACAGTGATTTAGTTTGAAAGGCACAACTTTTGTTTAAATGATTTGCTTACCAAGTCCAATCGAACTGAAATACAGACTTATAACGTACAGCAACGAACTTTTGGGACACCCGGTAATTCAAAGCCCTGACCACGCGGAATACGGGGGCTTCGCTGTTAGCTTTGCCTAAGTGTTTGTATCACAGAATCAGCATGTAGATTACCTTTTCCTTCTTCACTCTCCTTTCTTTGTATGTACCGTGCGACTCACTAAAGATCAAAGGGTGTGCCAAAGCGTAATTTAAAGCCCTGACACTTCCTTGCACGTCACGCGGTATAACAATGTCCGGGTCATCTTCGTCAACATCCAACAGTTCTTCGTAGCCTTTGTATTTTGTTTCCACGCTAAATGGTCGCTCTTTTTCTTTTGTTTTCTTCGATTTTTGTTTTGGAGGCTCCACTTCTTGTCCTTCTTCAAGGTCATCTACCTGTTGGCGTAAATGGCAATGAATGAACAAAACTTATACAAGACGGGGCAAAAAGATCGAAATAAATGGTTAATAGTCAGTTTCTAGAGTTCGCGAAATAGTGAGATGAAACTGAAAGCTCTGTGATTTACTGTAGAACTTTGTTTTTCTGTTGCAAGTGGTTCTAACTTTTGAGACTGTCAATGAAATCCTAAGGTTGCCAAGCAGTACTAGAATCTAGTTGGTATGTTAAGTACGTCTTTTTTTTTCAAATGAAAAGTAACACTTGCTACTTCCTATGACTCGGAAGTGCTTACGTTACTGTAAAAATAGTTTTCCTGTATGAACTTTAAATGCACATTTTCCATCTTACTCCCGTGGAAATCTAAATGCAATCCACCTTTCTCTTAATTTAAGTTTAACATGATCACTCTGTTCGTTTATAAACTTGTCCTGACGTACCATAGGCCCATCTTAACCGGAGAAATTATCGGCGAGGAATTCATGTTTGAAAAACCCGACCATACGTAGTGCAGAGACCTCGAATATCAAAAATGCTAGGGGAACAAACCTCAGGAAATTAAAAAGTCTTACTTGTGTCATGAAAAATCCATCTTCAGAGTTAATCTGTCGATCAGCACGTGGCTGACCACGCCCATCAGCAGTGCTGACGCTCTCACCAACAGTAGCTTGTCCATCTGTCTTCACGGTCTGCCTTGTGCTGAGGTCAGACCTGTACTGAGAAGACCCTGGCATCTCTGGAGGCATGCTATTGGTGCGTTCATACTGAGGTCGTACATTGTCTCTCGCTGTGGTCTCCGTCAGACCAGGAGCTGTGGAAAGCTTCCTAGGGGTGGTGGATTTAGAGCGTCGGCCAGTGGGCGGGGCAGATCCTATTGGCGGCAACGTTCTGTACGGTGATCCAATGTATTCGTCTGATGTCTTCTCAGGAGGGCCCTCCAACATAGCGAGAAATTGTTTCTTGGGCATTGGAGGAAGAGCGTCATTCACCTGGAGTTCGTAAAAGAGGAAATTAAATAAATTTTACCGTCATGCAAATATAAAACATGATAACACGGGAATAGCTCGCGGAACTAAATTTCCTTACAGTACGTGGAAAGGTGATTCCCTGGACCGTGCCAGAGCTTAGGCCTTTGGCAGATAACGTAGCCGACCACGAACTCAACATCTCCACAGTATTCGAACGTCGCACGCGACAAAAAAACTCCAATACCCTAGCCTGCAAGCAAGCTCTTCAACCATAGAGAGCGAAAATCTCTTTTCGCGTGTGGCTCTCGCGTGAATTCTCGCGACTCCCACAAATAGAGAGCTTGCTGGCAGGCTACTAATACCCAGGGTAGAGGGGTGGATGCCCACGGTCAGAAAACGCTGCAGAAGAATGGAGCATTAGAAGACCAACGGATATACGGATAACTTCTCTTTCCCGCCGGAACATAGAGGAGTGTATCAAGCCCCTGCGATCATTGTAGTCGTAGATATAGTACTTCGTTTCAAGTCCATCTTACCGCCTGAAGACCGACGCGATCTGCACTAAGACACTTCTCTTCATTAACACAAACGTTTCGGGCAATTGCTTGACCAAACACTTTGTAACCTTTCTCGAAAGCGTTTTCAGGGGAGGGAGGAAATACGACTCTCCTAAAAACACCTGCGTGGGAGGCTAAACACTTTGAGGATTTACAACAGCACGACAATGAAGAAAGGACCACCACTGGATGACGGAAATTCGTCCATCAATCTCTATTTACGGTAACAGTCATGGATAAATGGGATCTAACTAACTTTACGCCGCATCGTTCTAAAAGTTAGGCAGACACACTACCTGAACAAGACCAGGGACCATAGGAGAGTTTCTTGAAAACAAACTTACTTTTCTATTAGTATTCGCAAGATTCAAAACTGGCTTGGGTCTTTTCGGGGGCTTTTGCCTGCAAAGAAGAAAGATGAAAATAAACCGTCAAAATGTGATCACGTCCTGCAAAACGACGGAGCAGAGGAATACTTTCGATTTGTACCGCTGGACATATGGAGGCGCAAAACCGTTTTACCGCAAGATCTCTTTTTATAACCTTAACTATAAAAACTCAGAAGTGTTCCTTACCTGAAAATTCTCACACCTTTAAGTCTTCCGAGCTGAAATGAAAGAATTGGTGGGTCTCCCTTGAATGCAGTGGTAAGCGGATTGCCCCACAACACAAGTTCTCTAAGAGAAGGCCAGCCCATCAAAGCCAAGAGCCCTTCTTCCTCAAAGATGAGATTGTTTGCAAGGTTAAGGTGAAGTAAGTTGGCGAAAGGCATCGGTGGATTATATTGGTCACCTGAAATATCAAAAGCAGTAATCTTCATGTCTTCATGTGTGAAACTGTCATGTCACGAGCTTGGCACAATAAGCATCTTGTGGCACAAGCCCTGGCAAAGGAAAAGTGAGAGTAAATCATATTTTGTTTTTGCTGGGGCTTGCCCCATTTTTTCTCGCGGCTTCTCCGGTCGCCCCTCACGCGTAGTGCTCTTGCTTTACTGAATTTTAAAAGATAAAAAAGAGATTATTTGTAGTGTAGCGTTTTTAATAACTAAGTGATTTTTTACACGCTTAAAAGTCAAGACCATCGACATACATTCCAATAAACGTACCTAAAAGAGAAGCATCTTCAGTAAGTACGCTGGATTTTGGTTGCATTTCAGGCCGTTTGTGTTCCTCATTCTGTTCATCATCCGCTAGTTTTTGGTTTAGAATTTTATCAACTTCATCAAGAATCAACTCGTCGTTACTTTCTTCCTTCTCTTCAGTCTTCGATTCCTCTTTGGTATCACTAAAATGTACTTCATTTTTGGCCTGTGAATCGCTGTCCTTCTCCTGAGGAAAACTTGGTGCAGAGCTATCAACCAGTTCCTCGTTGAAGGCATCTTCATTCTCTTTCTGGGAAAGGTCTCTTACTCGGGCACCCAGAAGCCGAAGATGGGGAATGGAGGAGATTTCATTGTGTTCCAAATTAAGATATCTCAGCCTGTTGAAGAAATTAGAATTTCAAATTTGCTACTTGTGCTTATATGAGCAGTTTGATTTCTTCTAGCACAATACCCTCCTTGAGACCCCCTTCTTAGAAAAAAAAATCTAATTACCTAACTTTTCACTATGCCACTATGATAAAGCACATTACAAATTATCAAATATAACACTTGGAAAACAAGTATAAAATTTAAAAAAAAAACCTACAAGCTAACTGAACCAGCCCTTGAGCACAAAATGAATAACTGTTTCGTCTGGATGGTTACAATTATACAAATAATAAACAACATCAAGACCTGTATAATAATTGTCATTTAATGACTGTAGATAACTTCCTCACTAAAAGATCTGTAAAGTTTTGAATTCAGTTATCACAGATTCCTTTATCTGATATGCAGGCTAAACGTTAAATGTTAAACTTCGCATACATGCATCTTCAGTGAAATGCAAATGAGCAAGAAAACAAGAAATTTTCCTTGGTAGCAATTCAGCACATGTTAGCTTTGACTTTTAAAACAGGTCCAAGGAAGACAAGCCTTCCCCACATTCAACCAATAAACTTATTATATAAAAGTGAATCCATTACCAGCTGTAGATAGCAGTTCAATTACTGCATTCCAGAGAAACGGGCATTGCACTTACATCAGGGATGTCACTCAGACTTCAAGTTGCTGGGTAAATACAACAATTTTATTTTTCGTCTATTTTCCTATGAAAGTAGCCGGGGGCCACACTCACAGTAGCTGAGGAAAATCCCCCGACCCCCACCTCTTAATGACAGCCCCGATTCACATGCGAGGTAGTTCAAATTTCTGCCAGATTAGTCTTCACAATGAATTTCAATAATATACTCTGTAAATAATTTAATAGAAATTTTATCCATAACGTTAACAAAACTTGAGTTCATACTTTCTTAATCCTGCCAGGCTGGCAAAGGTGGACAAATCTGTTAGCTCATTATGATCAAGGTATAAATTTTCCAGAGCAGGAAATCTCAGTTTTCTCTCGTGGGATTCAATATTCCCTGACCTGTGTAAAACAAAAGAAAATTGCTACAAAAGATAATTTACATTGTAAAGTAGCTCATTTGAACATCTCCATAATACAGCTTTCAATTTGCAGAAAACGATCAATTTTAAACACTTACATTGTCATTCCTGTTATTGTTCTGTACATTCTTGTCATTTCCACTGGAAGCCTTTTTATCTCATTTCCTAGAAAACAAAATAATTATTACTAAAAAAATTTAAATTTCCATTGACACTTAGAAAACCAATTTTCAAGGGCAATCAATATTTCAAGAGAAGTAATCTAGTACTGTTAAAATCGTTCCATGAATCACCTTGGAAGTCTGGAACAATACAGATGTACCGGTATTAATAATCATTATGTCTAGCAAAACATTCCAAGTTACAATTTTGATTATTAGCTTTATTGCAAAAATAAGTAAGAATAAAAAAGCAACAATCAGCACTTTTGATATACTAGTGTGAAACATTGTGGTAGAGTATGTATGTATATGTATGCACAATTTCCTGAAGGTCCATTATGTGGCAATGAAAAAGTGTCTATGATGCAGCAACTCATGTGATATCTCAAGAGGTTATTTTGCTTAGAATAGTCTACTCACTGTCATAAGAATCTACCCAAGTTAAAACATTTTGAAATTTCAGAGGCTCTTCATGTTTCCAAAGAACAGATCAAGATGGGTGCATTTTTAAAATCACTGATAAGATTGTTTGTGGATCACTGACTGGATGACTGAATGTAATAAGAGGTCAACTGTGCAAAGCTGAGGTAACTTTGCAAAATAAATATAAATCCGTAGCCCTTAGCATCTTGAGGGAGAGGTTAGGGGTGAAAATTCGTACCTACAAGGAAATTGTAGGTTTCAGAAAGTTTTAATTCGGTTCAAGTTTCAGAGTTAAAATTCTTTTCTTTTAGTGTTCAATTTGTTCCACCCCATAGTCTTACTGTCAAACTAATAAAACTGTGAACATCTGAAGTATTTTAGGAATGTTTATTGTGTAAATGACCAATCAAAGTGAAGATCAAGACAATGATGCAAGCAAGCCAGTAAATCACAATGACATTCAAGAATATTTCTGGTGTTCATGGTTTTGTGAGTTTTACAGTAAATGTTTTGATTGAAAGTCTCGGTTTTTTAAACAAATTAAGGTTCACTGTTGAAACCCAAATTTACCATTTAACATCCCTCTGCTCTTACCTGTTAGATGCAAAGTTCGAAGGTTCATAAGAAGTCCAAGTGCCAAGATGTCATCTCCAGTCACACGATTGTAGGAAAGATCAAGAGTCATCAGGCTTGTGAACATGTCTGGCTGGATTTTGACGGTGTTGTGAATGTTGTTTAGAGGAAGTTCTAATTCCTGGAGTGCTGAGAATTTGCTAAATGCAGCTATATTGAGAAGAAATGTCAGACATAATCATTGTTAGTAAAATCCATCATGAAAGAACCTCATCCTACCTGACTTTCTGGAAACTGCATAAATTTTGACCTTTAAACTCTGTTAGGAAGATTTTGCTTTTTTATTAATTTCTATTTTCTTGAAAGTGTCTAGAAAATAATAATTGATTATAACTTTTCTTGTAACCACAAAAATGAAAGCACTACATGATACATTTACCCTGTTTTTAAGTTCTCTAATGGGGAAGAAGTGAGGGGGATTAGAGGCACTAAAATCACTAAGAATCCCAAAGAAAAGACAGTATGTGTGCATGTTAAATGTTAAGTACAGATAAAATCTCTTTGACAGAAGTACTAACAATATATTTTGCCTTAAGCTGAATGCTTAAAAATAACTGCTAAACATAAATTTCAAAGTTTGTTTACTGTTAACTCACCAAATGGCAGATTGTTGTCTCCCGCATCAACATGGATAACATTGTCAAATAGCAAGAAGTCATTTTCATTTACCTAGATACACAAAAAATGTGTAAATTGGAACACAAAATCAGTGGGGAAAGATGCTTTTATATGTTATGCTCTTCAATAAATCTCACTCATGAAATTTCACCCTACTGTACATTTTGAACAGTCACTCAGGGATGTCATGATCACAGCGGCCAGGATTTCCCCAGGCTAGTATAAGCATCAACACTGGCTATTTTAATAGGTGGAAAAGAAAAGGAAAACAATACCAAAGAACTTCCTAGCTGCTACCATTGTCAATTAATATGCTCATCTTCATCACTGTTGTAGTTTCAATCCAACCTTGTGTCACCTGCCACCATTTCATTTGACTAATGTCACTGTTTACCCTGCTAACCTCCCATAAAATGAACCTACAGGTAACATACAGGGTGCAAAGAAAGTCAGTTTTACAGCCTGCCATTTGGGCAAGCTGTAGCTACCAAATTGTACCAGCCCACGAGTCATTCAACAAGCTCCAAAACCCTTTTTGATTAGCAGGAGTAGATTACAATCCTTCTGTAATTTGAATTTCCCCAAAAAAACAGCACTTACCCATCAGGCAAGTTAAGAGCAAAAATCAGTAGCCCTATAGTAAAATCCACTAGCCCCGGGCTATCGGACACAACTTTCTCTGCACACTGAACATATAGCTATAATCCTTAAATATAATTAACATACATGTACATGTTATTGTACCTCTCTTAGTTCTTGTCCACTTATTCTTACTGAGCATAAATCAGATGGATCATCTACATGAAATTGTTTCATCTGCAAAAAATACAGATTTCATGATGTTTTTTTCAGTGGGTATGATGTAGAACGTAGTGAAGCAATATTTTCCTTTCAGCTAAAAGCATGGTTTACAATTTGCTGTGTATGTTGGCCTGATTTGGGACAAAAAAAACACATGGAACAAGAAAATTTGTTGCACAGCAATAATTTTTGAAATTGGTCCAATTTAAAGCTATTCTATTAATGCTTCAGTTTAAGCTTACCAGATAAAATCCATCAAGTTTTTGTGACTTAACATCAGTGAGAGTGTCCATTTCTTCATTTTTAAAGTTTGTAATCAGTGATTTTGTTGGTAGACTTGGATCCCCAGCACATAACACAGCTTTAAATCTTCTTCTCTGCTCGGCGCGGTAAGCAACAAGCCATGCCCCTCCTTCAGAAAATAATAATAACAACAAAAACACAGTAACTATAAATGGAGGCCTTAAAACATGAAGATTCCATTCAGACATGCCTTCTCTAATTCCTTTCCCACACGCTGTTTGGTTTATGCTCAGAGAAACTGAATAGACCGGGCAAGGTTCAAAAACAACACAGTGACTATAAGCCCTGTCTTATAACTTATTTTATGTTAGTTTAATTTAAGATATCATTAATACTGTACAAGCATTTAAACTAACATGCGGAAAAGAAGTTAGAGGTATAGATACAAACACAGAGAAATAATTTACAGACATGCATGTAATTGTAAAAAGCAGAAACCCGAAGAGGAATGGATAGTCAATAACCTCATCATATCTAGCTTCGCTTTCTTGAGCTTCGTTACTTTATATTTGTCCCTCAGTCCAGTACCATACAACTGTAAAATTACCAAGTAACCGTTTTGAACTGGACATTAATATTATCCCATTCAAGCCCTTTCCAACAAGACAACATGACTACAATTGATCATACCACGTGTTTCAACTAAATTCATTCAACTTATAAACGTATGGTTGTCTTCAACCAAACGAAATACATCAGAAAACACCACTTTGTCACAAGAAAGGCCAAACACTTACCATCGTCATCTTGTCTCTTGTATCGAGTGAGGCTTCGAACGGGAAAACACTGACTGGAAAACCCCGTACTGGAAATAAATCCCGCGTCGGTATTCGCAGCTGACATAGCAAATGCTTGATTTTAAATTTCCATCTCTAAAATATGTCTGTTGACGCCAACAGCGAAAGATTAATGGAAGAGTTTACGGGAGTAATCGAGGCAGCCATATTGGCGAGCAATTGTCTAAATTACCATGGTAACGTGAGCATTTAGAGAACTTGTGTTTACATGTCTAGGGGAGGGACAAATTATTGGTTTTTACGCAAACGCGTGTAGATCTGCGTTTTCACTCGTCCTCTAGTCTGCTGAAAACAAAAGCAAAAAGGAAACAGTCAATAAGCGATGTTTAATTTTATAAAAACACATTTCAGTGAATAAGTTTTTCGTCTGGGCAAGGACTCGCGATTAACCCTGTCCTCCCTAGAAAGTACAAATTTTGTTAATGAGGACGACGAATTTTTTGGACCAATATGGCGGCCTTTAGGACACAAAGTTAGGAAATATTACGAAATGTTCCCAGTCCATCAACCACAAACTTTGCTAAGTTGGCGACCAACTTGGTTCAAAATGTTGAAGAAAAATCAAGCAAACAAATAATGAGACAAAACAGGAATTTTAGCAAAAAGAGATTCTCCCCGGCGGGGAATCGAACCCCGGTCTCCCGCGTGACAGGCGGGGATACTCACCACTATACTACCGAGGAACTCGGATGAAGACGGAAGGATTGTTAAAAACACCAAGCCTTTTGGGACGCACTTGGGCCTTTGAAGGCCTTTGTCCCTTCCAGGGTCCGAGCAAAAAGGTGTTGTGCAGCGGACTGGGATCAAATTTGGACCACAGATCAAAGTTTCCTGAAGAATCCTTGGTGAACTGGCGATCACTACTGGAGGGAAAACAACTGACGGCTAGTTGGGATTATCAAGGGAATCTCAGGAAAACGAGAAAGGGTTTGAACAGAAGCCTGGTTTGAATTTAAAGAGATTTGCGACGCATTGCGAGAATCGTCACGACGCGTGGTATCCGCCGAGGCAAAGTTTGAAAGAGTACAACGCTACTATACCCAAATATATCCAGCTAATTTTTTTGTTATGTTATGTAAAGTTTATCCCCCTTTTGTTTATCAATATTGTTATGAAACGAATTTATCCATTTAACACTGTAGGCTGAAATGACAAAGAGAAAATAGGATTTCCGCTTTGCAAAAGGAAAATTTCGCCGGCCTTCGAGCGCACCGGAAGCGGGCAAAACATCACTTGAAGAGCGGAGTGCTCGTTTCATCGCCCAACCTTTATCCGCCCTGGTCCCTTCCCACCTCAACGCGCACCTCAAGTGACCCCAATCTTCTCTCACCTCCCAAAACACGTATTAAAATAGCGACTGGGTACAAGCCTGACTGAAGGGTACATATAAGTTCTGCAGTATTTTCAAAGTATAAACTGATAGGCTAAAGAATATAAGTAAATGAAGGGAAAAAGCTAAATGAGAGACTCGCTCAACACATTCAAAGGTCTTCTCTAACTAAACTGATGAAGCTCAAAAAAGGGTTTTAGAGGCCCAGACCGGCGCCGATTTTAACTCTAGCCGAACTAAACTCAAAAGGAGAAAAATGCTCAATTAGGTCAAACTGCCTACAAAATACGTTGAATCAGGGACGGATCCAGAAAATTCAGAAAGGGGAAGCCGAGACACTTGGCACTGCAGCTATATAGATACTAGTTATGCTGTTTATGTTACTGAGATTCTATAAAATAATAGAAAATGTTATAGAAAAAAGAGGTGGCGGCGGTTCCCTCGGCCAACCCCTGAATCCGCCCAAGATAACAAGAGTTATGCACTAGGTTCGGCACTGAAACGTTCGGCGTCTGAACCGGGACTACTCACTACACCTGACTACCGTGAAGTGCTTTTAGGATTATCAAGAATATCAAAGTTTGCAGGGTTAATTATAGTTCCAATTTGGCTCTTTTGCTGTCACTGCAAATAGATACGTATTTTTTTAAAACTTCAACTTGAAAATCAGAAATTATAAAAACAGAAGGGAAAATTTGGCGATTGGTAAATATAAAACACAAGTATCAAACGTCGTTTCGTCCCGTTCGTCTGTCCGGAATGGATTTTCGTATTTGTCGACGTCAAGCCGTTTTTTTTTTCCTTTTCCTGACGTACCATTCTTAGAGATTTTCCTGATTTATAATTTTAGCCGTCTTTTTCAATTTTGCTAGACAAACTTACGTTAGAGATGAGACTACCTCCTCTCCTTAAAAGGCGGAAGTACGCGGGGTAATTAAATTTGAGAGAAGATAGACCTGCTCTAGCCAAAAAGATAATGCATGAATTCCAAAGAAGAAATGTTGAAATTCTAGGTTATATCTAGGTTATGTTCACAATATACTGGGTGGCATTTCGAGCCGAACACCTATCCGATATGTGACTCTCCTTCTTTAGAGATCGACGCAGCGCTACTTCGAAGTTCGTTTGAAGAAATCACCGTTCTTACTTGTATCAACAGAAGCCGTATTCGGTATGATTTTCGTGCCGGCGCAAAAACTATTCGGTATAGTGTGATAAAACGTAGCTTATAATACCGCGTCTGTACTTACAGCTAGCTGTTGATTTAAACTAACGCGTGGAAGCAGGTAGCTACTTTGTAGCACCGTGGGGTACAAACAAAATAGCTGAAGAACGAGCAAAACTTTCAAAGTTTGAGATGGTCACTTTAAATCAAAATTTGAAACGTAAAAGAGCAAAATTTTACAATAGTGTGTCGGCAACGAGTTGTGACATATAAACTGTTCTGACGGGGATCGCCATAAATTTATTTTCTTTTTTTAGAACAAGGAAGTAAAAAGATCCCTTTCAAGCCCACTCAATTCAGTGCCATTAAGTAACAAATTCATCAATCCAAAATGAATGGCATCCATTTAGGCAGGTGGCAGTGCCGTGTCATGTCATCTGAACTCTGTCTTAAAAGTACGGCAAAATCGATCGTGTTAATTCCACCATCAAAGGGTAACAAAAAACTGAGATAATGAGATATTAGGTGAGACATGGATTGAGTATTTTTAGGTTGAGCTGGAAAGAATATGGTTATCATAACAAACGAGGCGGACGCATAAAAGTTTTGGTCGTAAATGAGATACAGAAAATTCACTTTGGAATCGCAGAGTTGGTAGGACGATTACTTTCATGTTTTTCGCTTGCGTCCAAAATTATTTCACTAAATATTCAACAGTCGTCAATCAACGTCATTTGCAACAAGGAAGTAAAGGAAACGGGAAATAGCTTCTATAGCAAAATACATATAACGAGTCAAGTTCAGGAAATGCTGAAACAGTATAAAACGCGCTCGTAAGTTGAGGGTGAATTAGTCAAACAACAGTCTGTGTTATGGTGAGTTTTATTTACTCAAACTTTAATCTACAGTAGACTTTACATGCTACGAAACAACGGTGTAGATCATTACCATTCAGAGATTCCCTCCAGTCAGTTTTCGTCCGAGGTTGAGTGGTGCTAAAGCAATTTGCATTTTAGCCACGTAACCTAAATTTTCTTTAGTCACGGTGTACAACGCAACGGTTCCTCAAGTTATATAAAAAATTATTGAGTACAATCTGCAATCCCACTTTACCACCGTTCAAATTACGGCTAGTACGATCACAATTTTTTGGCCCAAACGTTAAAAACTCCCCGTCATTTTCTTCTAGGAAGCGTCCTATACATTTCCTCCTTGTTAAAACACTGATTTTCACTAGTCCTCGTGGCCGCATTTTCTAACGAGGTGGCATCTACCTTGTTTTTATACTTTTCCGGAAGGCTATCTGTTAATTAAGTCTCTTTTTTTTTTCTTTATTTCAAAGGAAGTGTTGTTATTTCATATTGTTCCAGTGGACAATCGTGATCAGGATATTAGTTACTCTGAAAATCAAAAGTGGTGTGCAATGACAGAATCACGAATTCTAATCTTCAATTTTGTTGTCCATTCTAACGCGATCAGTGAACCGTTTCAAGCCAAAAGAGATAGAAAATACTTAGTAAAAGCTTGATTGCGACAAACATTAACCATGTTTAATAATATTGCTTGAGCGATGTTCTCTGCCCTTTCGATTTCAGTTTCCTAGTATATGATATTTTGCCTTTCTCTGTTCTTCGGATTTGTTGTTCCGTGTTTGCTGTCCAATTGCTGCACTTTCACAAAAAGTTTTATTTTCGAGCTATCAGCTGTGTCCCGTCTTTATCAAAAACCGCGTAGTTCAAACAGAAAAGAAGACTAAAGAAATAAGTATAATGTATATAATAAGTATAATAAGTATAATGCTCTATTATACCTTCATGGACGCAACTATAATTGTAAAAATACAATTTTCCGAGAAAAGCTGTGGTACTACGTCACGGGTTACGTCGGCTACCATTAAAACACAAGAATACGTTTAAAACTGAGAAAAGAACATCTTTTTTTAAAGCAGTAGAGAGTACAGAGTGGGCTCTCTCAAAGAACCAGTATAATATAAGAAGAACGTGCTGTCGCGTAAATAGATTGCTTATCACAAGTTCAACTTCCCAGGATAAACTATGCCCTGGAGCAAGACTATTCTTTCTGACCATTCAAACATAAAACATTATGACAATTACAAAATTCGTGCGCAAAAAGTTGTCATGGGAACCATGGCAAAAAGGCGCGAAGCTAGCTTTCTAAAATGAACCGCCCTTTAAAAGACAATGACGGCGTTGACCTTGGTGCTTTTTCCCTCGAAGTCTTGATGATTTTCATCTGCTTTTCATTTGCTTTCTAACACCAGATACAAACTCTTTTTTGAAAAGGCAACAGTGGAAAAAGTTTTAATAATCTTTTATGGCACTTTTATGGGCGAGATATGAAGTGGATCAGAAGGAAAAACGGTACATAAAGAAGAGTAAGCCCTGTTTGAAATGACATCGGAAAAGCTTTCTAAAACCTAGTGATGCATACTTCAAGTATTTCCTTTATTAATTATTTAACGCGAACAACAATAGGTCTACAAACTGAAAGTGGGTGATAAACCGTACCTTAGTTGGCTGCTATTTCGCATATTCCATGGCTTTATTGTGCAAATGAATTTGAGTTATCAAGACGCTTGGTATTAGTTGTCAGATCGTCGACGAAGCGAACTGTTACTCAGTTAAACAACGCGGAACAGAAAACACTGGAGGGCTTGTTATAATAGCGAGGCTGATATCGATCAGTATCAGCACGCCGGCTAAAACATGTACTTCATTATATTTGACTGCTGAAACATCAATATCGTTTACGATATCAGATCAAATTGAGACTGGCCAAAAAAGCTTTATCCTTTTCCTGCTACTCTGAAAACACAATTTAAGGAAGATACCATGAAAGTGTTTGTTAAAGTTATATTTACTTCGATAGTGCAGTCACCCGTTGAGTACCCTTGAGTCTGTCAAAAATATTGGAGTTGTTTTTTTCTGGTTGTTTAAAGGTTTACGTCATTGCCCAGGAAAAACACGACCTTAAAACAAAAACAGGCCCACTTTATTCACCCTTCCTCTTGAACAGCCAAGAAAAACTTTCCAGTGGCAATCTTTTAGCTCCTGGTTTTAGTTCCATAAGCTGGCGACACGAAGTGCTCAGACGTGCACGAACAGCGTTTTAGTTGTTAAAAGCGCCTTACACTGATCCCATTGCATTGTCAGCATTGTCAGCATTGTCTACTGACACGTTCGCTTGATTTCATTCCTGAGGCAGAAGGATGATGTCGTGTCACGTCCCTAATGGAAAAAGTTCAGCCTTCCAACAACCTTACAGTGGTTGTGGCTCGTGCCGTTCACCGCTATGCTGTGGTAGTTCACGATATATGACCACTCCGTTAAGTTCTCCCGCGTTCGCAAAACCCTGCTGTAGTCTTGGAATCGCAAACGGCCATGGAGATGTTGAGCACGTGCTTTCTCCGCAAAAAGGAAGTCGTTATTGTAAGTATGCGGGGAGTTAAAAAATTGCGCACTTCCATCTGGATTATTTTATCGGAAACACTTCCGAACTGTAAACTTAACTGTTACAATAACCAGAGGGTTTAATCTTTATCTGTGTACGATATTTTTCAGTTGAATACTTTCACCCAGCATAGCTAGAGTTTTATCGACAATATCTCAATACTGATCCAGCCACGTACAACCCCTGGGGGACTCCCATGGTAAAGTGCCAGGATGCTCGTCGTCTCCCTTAGGAGTGCAAATTGAAGATTTTGGTCTCACTTAGGGTGTCATAGTGGGACGGAAAGTCACTATATAGTTTTCCCATTCAGGTATTGCCTAGGGTTGGGCATAAAGAAATGTACAAAAAAGGCTTGACATTGACCGCTAAGAAATCTAACGTTTAAAAGAAAATACATCCCTGGCACTTATTTAGATGCCTACGTAAACTAAGCATATCCCAGTTGCCGGGAATGAGCTCCCGGAAGGTCTTCGTGATAGAGACGCGCTTCATAGCAAGCATCCTTACCCCCAAAAATAGCGCCCATGAGACACATTAGCTAAGATTACTTGTCCTAATTTAAGATTTATCCACGGCACGTTATTAAAAAGTTTGAGTCATCATTGAAGCTGAGTTCACATTAGTAGATTTTGACGATATCACACCCATAATCCCTCGCGGACCCTGGCCTATGAGCAGTATGGTGATACTTATGGACTTCATCCCAATTCGCTATGGTCAAAAAAACACGTTTACACCACGAAATATCCTTATCAAGAGGAAAGTGCTGCGAAGAAGATTTAATTCAAATGGTCGTATCTTGCTAGAGAATGCTAGGTACAGCAGTTCCAAAAAGTATCTAATGCATTTGAGGATTCCATCCAAAGTTAAAACCACCTTGAACAGCAAGCATCAGCCCATAGGATAGTGGGGTTCAGCCGGACTGAGTGAGGTCGCATTTCATTTGAATGGTCACACTTTAGGATTTTATCCACAGGCTCAAAAGTTAGAACCACCTTGTACAGCATAATAAACAGTACCACAGGAACGTACTGCTCAGTAGTTTTCATTTGAATGGTCACATCATAGGATTTCGTCCACAGACTCAAAAGTTAGAACCACCTTGTACAGCATAATAAACAGTACCACAGGAACGTACTGCTCAGTAGCTTTCATTTGAATGGTCACATCATAGGATTTCGTCCACAGACTCAAAAGTTAGAACCACCTTGAACAGCGTAATAAACACTAGCGGAAAGTACTTCTCAGTGCTTTCATTTGAATGGTCACACTTTAGGATTTTATCTGCAGACACAAATATTAAAATCACTTCTACAGCCTAATAAACAGTATCACAGGAAATTACTACTCAGTAGCTTTCATTTGAATATGGCCACGCTTAAGGATTTTACCCACCTACTCTAAAGTTAGAATCGCTTTATTTACAGCCTAATAAAAAGTACCACAGGAACTGCTCAGTAACTTTCGTTTGAAGAATGGTCACACTATGGGATTTCATTCACAGACTCAAAAGTTAGTTCAATTTAGATGACCGGTGACAGCATAATAATCAATACCACCACAGGAAAGTACTGATCAGAAGTTGATCAGAATGGTCACACATCATAGATTTCATCCACAGACTCGGTAGTTTAGAATCACCTTGTACAGTATATTACTGTATACTGTACCACAGAAAAGTACGGCTTCGTATTCAATGGTCACACTTTAGCATTTAATCAATGGAGTAAAAAAGATTTTAAGATCACCTTGAAAAGCACAATAAAACAACTCCGACAGAAAGTTATGTTCTTGAAATTAGGTAGTCAAATGTTATAGAAAGGGTCGTTTGACTCAAATGGAATTGAACAAAAAGCCCTTCGAGCGTTTCCGATGACGCAATGACCGATAAATGACCTCCTTCCTCTCCCACTTCAATTTGTCAGAACTTTTGAAGTACGGTAAGAGGATGGTCCGCAGGAAAAAGGAAAGGGTCAAGTGACACTTGTGAAACAACGTCCGTAGGAAAGAAAAATATTTACCCTGAAGGCCCTCAAAAGAATTATGCGATACGGAAGCCGTTGTCGAAAGTGTATCTTCATCGAGGTCGCCATTGACTGACGTTATTAAAACAAACAAGCCGCTCATCAAAAGACCTATGGCCACCACTTTCCAGCTTTGATTATCACTATCCGAAGGCCATATTAATTCTTCTTGTTAGCGACGAGTCGACATCGACAATAAACAAACGGCAAGCGGATTCTAAAGGAAAGCGTCGTAACATGGAATTCATACTATTATCAGATATATTGGGTCTAGAGAGGATTTATAGCCTAATATCATGGGCACCAAAGCACAAAGATCTGACGTCAATTTTCGTTGTTGTTACAGTGTTGTTCTTTTTTTTCAATTTTTTTTGTATGTTTGCTTGACTGATTTGCCTGATGCCTTTTAGTTCGCCTTTTTCCCATCAAGTGCAATCGGATTATTGACTGTCTCTCATCGATTTAAATGTTAGCATGCTGTTATGACTCAATTAAGAGAAGGAAAAGAATACCACATCGCGAACGTAACCGAACCAAAACCGATTTTAGAAGTATAGAGTTGTTATATTGGGAAGTCCGTCTCGGGTCTCTCTGAAATGCCTATCATCTCTTAAATGTTTGCTATTAACATTGAAGTCTCGTGAACAGTATTACTATTTATTACTATACATACTGAGAAATGCTCACCAAAAAGCTGTCGTAAATTTTCATACGCAAATGAGTTCTAGCCAATCAGAGGAGCCAACGATGTTTTTCACACGTGAAAAAAAATGATATACAGTAATTGCCCGCGTATAAGAACCTGAATTTTTCAATTTAGCCTAAATAGGTTCTTACATAAATGGTACTTAAAGCAAATTTAGGCTACCCAGGTTCTTAAAATAGGTTCTTATATTTTCATATGAATTTCATCTGAATATACTATATATATTATAAATATCATCTGATAATACAGTATAAATCATTTATTTGTACCATAGAGCAATGCCTATATAGGCAGTTCAGTGCAGGTACAGCATATGTGCTAGATGATGATCTTAATTCAGCAGTTTCTACCTATACGCTTTTACAGCAACCCCACTGATAAGAACCTAACTTAAAATTTTAGCCTAAATAGGCTCTTATGTGGAGGGGGCTTAAAATGAAAATTTTAGCCTGACAGGTTCTTAAAACCCAGGTTCTTATATGCGGACTATTACTGTATACATACGTTCGTCAGAATCGCGAACGATGTTTTTTCAAGCGTGAGAAAAATGATAGGTCCAATCAGAAGTCACAGAGGTGTGTGGGTTTCGCACCAAAATTCCCGCGTTTTATAGGCGCTTGCAGCGCCCTCGCTTCTCAAACTATCTCAAACTATAAAAAAAAATATATTAAACCGATGCTGGTTGGAAGAGAGTCTGCATATTGGGGGTACTTGACTGAAACTCGGTTCTCGTGATCATCAGCCAGCCCTTATACTCCGCTGTCTCAGCTCACAGTCAAACTTTTGACCAATACTCACTGAGCTTTCATCCTCTTTGAACACTGGTGTAGGCTATTTCTAGGAGAAAAATGGGGTTCAGGAATGCGCTGCAGGAATTGTAGCACATCAGCAGCAACTGATGCTATGACCATTACTAATACTACGAGCCAGACCGAGATTAATAGTCGTAGGTGACCACCATATCAGGAATGCATTGGTTCATTCTCTTAGGTGGACAATTATAGCATCAGTTTGGTCATTCTAAGCAAGAATGTCCAGGTCTGCAAAAACTGCCTAAAATTAATAGTTCTAATTTTGATATATTTCCACCTATGATGCTTTGTTTATTCATTTCAGAATCACTGTTTCCACAATTTCCCACTCCCAACTATTGCCATTGTCAGTTAGTGTCTAGTACATGTAAGAAAACATTCATCTTTGTGATTTTCATTTTTTTTCCCCAGTTGTTAATCCGTACTCTTCAACGGAAATGTCAAGTCGTACTACTTCAGACGCATTTTTCCTCCGGCCGTACTTGACGAGAGAAGAGTACATGTATTGGAACAGCCATTTCAACCACACACGACCAAGGTGGGAATGCCAGAGCTGTACCAGCCCACCGGGTGTAACCACCAACATGATTTATCAGCAGAGAAACTCTCCTGCTTCCATCCAAAATGTTACAGCAGACCTGACATCTAGAGCTAGTGAATCGAGCTCTGGTTTCCGTGCACCTCACAACCACGACTTTGTAGAATGTTTTTACACGCAAGCACGTGACACTGGGAATGCTCCCTTGCGTAACATCCCTAAGAGGTCTGACTTTATGAGAAAAGGCGGAAGAAAGAAAGCCAGCTATGCAGCTCATCGCTGTCAGACCCAAGCGCTTTCTAAAAGAAGTGATTCTAGTGTCAAAGACAAGAGGTTTGCTGAAAATTCCTCTTCCTTCAAAAGGATGGCCTCATCTGCTCGCCAGGTGGAAGTTTATCACCAAAATTTGTCACAAAATTATTTTAATTCCGCTAAAAGTTGTGGTGCTCAACAAGAAACGACGTCTAAAAGTTTGAGGACTATACTGAGTGAAAAGTACCTTTGCGGAGATAAAAGCTTTGATGAAATCCCTTCCATTGCAGCCTCCAAGGATATTCCCGATGGCAAAAATCATAAAAATAATGCGCGTTCAGCTACCGTTAACTGCCGTGACTCAACAAGCACTTTTGGCTTAAAAAACAAAGGAGGAAAGTCAACCAATCCTTACCTACTGAAAAGAAAAAACACCATGGACACAGAACACGACCAAGAATATCCACAAAGAAAGCGGGTGAACATTAATGATGACGTGCGTGCAGGTCTACATCAAGTACAGAAGGTGAACGGCACGATTGATCTTAACGAGTGTTTCACGCAGTACCTTGGTGGCTCTTTTCCAGACGAAGAGAACAAGCATGCGCAGAGACAGAAACCCTCCAGACCACAGTCGACTGAGCAGACTGAGATAAACCAAGCTTGTGGTATTGAAGACACTGCAGAGATGACACACGTTATCGATGAGAGTGAGGAAACCCAAAAGGTTTATAACAAACAAGTGGAACCAGGTAAAGACATTAACAAGTTTATCGGCAAGACAACGAGGCCAGTCCATCGGAAGTTATCAAATGATACTGGAAACTCCACTAGCTTTGGTTATGCTCTTGATTACGACTGTTTGCCCAAAGTTGTCGGAGTAATGTCGTCCAAACCAGATGCTAATCTTCCGGGTTTTTAAAACAAGTTTCCTGAAAAGGTCGGGATTTTCTGCTCTTGAAACATGATAACTAAAGTGAACAAAAAAAAAAATTGGATTGAGAGCAAAGGTAGGGAATTTGTGAAATATTTCGCAAGCAAGTTTTGCTCTGAACAAGTTTGTTTTTCAGTTTTATTTTAATTATTGATGTTCGTAATTAAAATTTCGCAGTGATTAATTAATGTAATTATCTTCTCCCTTATCATTTCGTTATGGACCATATGTCCATCAACCTTGATTTAGCATTCGGTACTGCTAAGACCGACTTTCTTTTTGGAAACATACATTGAGCAGTGATACCAGCAACGCTTTGTATTGCGTCATTAGAAATGATTGTCACAGCGGTTGTACAAGACCGCTTTCCTGCTATAAAGATAACTATTGGACCATAGCAACCTTCACTGATGGCATGAATTATTCATATTAATTTTATGCTTTGAGACTCAAAAACCTGCTTGCATTCATCTGTCCCGGATGCTTTGAGCCAGTGTTCATTATTTATTTTTCAATTACGTCTTAAGCATTCAGTTTAGCCATAGGTAACCCACGCCCTTATTTGTAAACTGCAAATGGAAATTAAATAAAAGATAAAATCTTACATGTTTTGTTCTATTCTTGAATCTGCTGCGGTGCGAAGTGAAATGGAAGTTGTTCCACGATGCGAAAACGATGTTCAAGTCGACGCTTTGACCGTTGTTGATTTTACAATGCTTTAATATGTGGTTTTTATCGCATTTCACTGCTGGTGCCACGCGGTTGTTACTATCGTCTCGCGTTTCACTGTTGGGTATTAATTTATACCGTTAATTCAAATTGTGCACAGTTAAACACTAACAAGACTCCAGCTTAGTACATGGCCCGAACAAAGTTTCATTACAATCGATTTAGAAGGTGTTGCTGACGGGAAGACAGGACTTGCCGTTCCTCGTTCTTTCGTTAGGTCATTCTTGAAACTAAAACCAGAGCCAAAACCTTGGTCTTGCCAGTACATGAAGACTTGCTCACTGCGTACATAGTCTATCCAGTGGAGTGTCTGTTAGAGGGAGGGGAAGGGTACTCAATAAAGTTTTAAACGCGGAGGCTCCGCCCTGAGGTCCGATCCCGGACCCTTTAATTATCATTTTTGAAATAAAGAATACCCCTTCGTATACCAACTATTGATAGCGGTACCCTTTTCACATACCTATAGTTTAGAATTTTGCATCCCTGCTGTAAATGCACGGTATGTAAAATGAATAAATCACAAAACCATGCGCAGAACGTTTACCGCCTTTCTCACGGTCATAAAATGCATCTAAGTTAACTCTTTCAGGCCTTAACTTCTTACGACCGAAATGACAGATTTCCCTACCCTTTCATGTACTTAAACAGTGAAATGCCTCACCGCTGCCCTTTCATATACCTGAAGTCTGTATAAGGTACCCCTTTCGTGAGGATTCTCCACGTATAGGCCATAAAGGAAGAATCCCGCCCCCGGGCTGCGAAGTAATACATATTACTAGCTCGAAGTTTTTTATTTACTAGCAGTTTTAATATGCTCTCTTGTTGATATGACACTCTAACCGATGAACACAGCAGGATGACTCAAAAACTAATCTTTAAAATAACATTACTCTGAAAAATGTCCACCTGTGCAGACCTCATGGTCAGCATTGCCAAGGTTAGTAAAACTAATAACAGAGTGATATAAACATGCTAACCCAGCACCATACTTCTAGAATTATGAATTACTAAATAACAAGAAATCAGTTTCCTTTTGGGACAAAATATTTTGGGGCAAAATATTATCGAGCAGAGAAGCAGAGGTTTATCCATGGTGATGCAGGAAGAGCCATTTCAATCCAGACTGCGTTGCAGGTAGCGTAAACAATTGGTTCTTAATTCATTATAAATGAAGTCATTCAATTTTGTCACGGAAAAGCTTTTATATTTATAGTACTAGACAGTGGTTCATTTTGTGAGCAAAGAAAACCTACTAAAAATCTCCGGTTTGTATGCAAATTTCTCAAAGGAACATTATCAGCTTCACCGTGCGCACTAGACAGCTGACGGTTCAAAATGGTATTTAATCTTAAAGGCACACATTTTATTACGAAATAGCAATTTTGTAGAGCATTTAATGAAAATGACTGCCAAATAGGGAGTCTAATAGCATACGAGTGTTGAATAACACAGAGATTTTGCCACAAATTGTTCGGAAAAACGAGGTCCAGAAGTTTGACAACGGATTTATTTTTCAGCAGGTCATTCGCCAGAATTAAAGAGTTCTTCACAGTATTGCAGCCACGTTGATTTTAAATGGCTTACATGCAACGACTGTTTTCACAGCCAATATATAGAACTTTTAGTTTTTACTGACAAAAGCAGGCTATGATCAGCTCTATAGAAAACTTCTGAATCACCGATGGATGAAAGTATTTTTTTGGCCAGTAAGCTTTTAATTTTAGTTTAGAAAGCAGAGCTAGCCTATTTTTGTTAAGTTCAAATTTCAAAATTAAAAAGCATTTTAGGCTGTAAGCTTGATCAAGTGCAGCGTTCAACTTTTCTAGTTTTCGTTCCTGTTTTTTGCGCGTGACCTCAAACATAAAAGCTTTTATAGACTGAGACATTTTGTCTCCAAAAATGACATTTGTTTTTCTTTCCTTCAAATTATTATCTTTTAAAAAGCATTCTAGATATCTCATTTTTCAAAGGAAAGAAAATCCGTGTTTTCACTTCAGTCAGCTCCCGACCGTTGTGAATTTTAATATGCCGAATATGGGCTTAACTCGTCGTTCACCGTCGTTCGCCTAAATTTATATTGGAAAAGCCCAAGTGTTATCTATTTTTAAAATACATCAAAAAAGGTTTGCAAAAAGTTTAGTGCAAGCCAGTGGTGGGGGCTTTGGCTTAGGAAGGAGTTACCAGTCTAGGATCACTTCTTGGAGTACTTCTGTCACTGTTGTCAGTCTTTCGTCAGCAACGGCAACAAGTTAGCTCAAACTTAAAAACCTAAAAAATACCAAAGCTAACACTCAAAAGCTATTTTAGCCAAATATTAACATCTTAAGTGGCCAAAATGTAGGTACGTTCGGGCTTGCTGACCACGAGAGTTACGAACGTACTTCCTTTTGACTTAAAGGAACTTCCTGTTGTTCAGCAAAACAAACTACCTAAGAAAGCTATTCATAACCAAACCCCGGGAACGAGTGAAACTTCAAGCAAAAACATTATGATCACCTTATAAATAACACATGACACAAATCTTTAGGAGAAAGCAGCTCAGGAAATATTAAAAAAAACACCAGCCTGAGGATAATTTGCTCGAACCTCATAAGCTGTAACAATGAACTGAAAGAACATTAGACCTATATCAATGTATAAAAAACATGGAGGAGATTTATTAATCACAAATCAAATCCTGTCTGTGTAAAAGAGGAGACGCTCTTCTGCACTGAGGAAATTTGAAGACATCAATTGAACTTGAAAACCGTGATCAGGGTCAAGAACAACCTCGTTGCCAGGGTTCTCTCCTTCCCAATTTAGCAAAATTTTTGGATAACAACAAACCGATAAAGTCACTTAAAAGTCTATGCGCACTATTTCAAACTTCACCGATCTTATTTAATTTCATTTAATTTGGCAAATCTTGGCGAAATTTTTGTGTTGTGTTCACCAACTCCATAAAGCGGGCTTGTGAAATTAGGAAGTTTCATGTCATAGTGGAGTGCAACGATGGCAAAGAAATGTACCAGATAGCGTGATTCACGTGCAAAGTTGTTGTTTGTTAATATAAACATATTATTTCTTGCCGTTCTCCTTGCCGTCGCCATCGTCGTTGGTTTTGTTGTCATCCAGAAATAGTGCTACCGTGGTAACTTGACGTCACTCTTCTCCTCTCTATTTTGATTGAATCAAACCAGTGAGTACGAGACTTTGCCGCACAAACGGGTCCCCAGTCTCCCACTCTGTTAAGTCGTACCGCCAGTGTATGGAATTCGCGCTGGTTGTGAAAATCAGAGCAAAAGTGAAGTTTTTGTGTTGTTTATCGAAATCCCATTTCATTTTTTAATTTCCGCAAAATTTGGAAGACTCATGGAAAAGGAAAAGTGATGATGTTGACATCATTCCTTCTACAAATCACAAGATGACTGTTCGTTTTAAGCTACGGTAAAACTAGCAACAAAACTGGCGAGCAACCTGTTTTGCAACATTGCTGCAATGAGAGTGAAAAAGTGATGTTGACATGCAACTTGTTTAGACTTTTGCTGCAAAACAACTTGCTCTGAGACGTTGTTCTAACGATGCTTTACTCTGCTTTAATTCTTGCTCTCGAATTTGCGTACAACACTAGAGTTGTTGTCATTTTGACCCTCTTAATGGAACCGAAAAAAAATTGGGAGAGTCACGTCTTCTTTTCCATAAATTAACGTCGGAGTTGTTTACTGACAACGTACCCGAGTTAACCATTAAGGAACAATGAAACCTTAAAATTCTCGTAAGTAAATTACTGAACTAAGTACATGTAGCAACCAAAGATGTTTATTACAACGAGATGATTAGCACATTCTATTGGACAAATTTCCCGCTGAAAACGTACAAAACTTTGTCAGATTTCTAGGAAGGTATATGGTTGGTGAAATTAAGAATGATCAAGAGAGATAACCTGGTGAAGTAAAATTTTGGACGACTTTTGGAAAAACTAATTAATACGAGATAAACAACAGCTATTGTTTTATTGCTGGAACTAATTACATTGATTTAATAGCCTCTGTGAAGGTCTAGTTAAGGTAAAAAATAAACATTACAGTTGTTACTGGCACTTGCGGCAAGTGCGACGGAGAGAGAAACCGAATGTTCAAGAGAATGTTCTTGCTAGGAAGGTCTACTTTAAAGTCAAAATGTTTTATTTTAAGAGAAAATTGACCTCAAGAACCAAGTACTTCCTACTTTAAGGCATTTATTTAACGAAACGTAAGTCAAAATTCCGAACACAAAAATAATAATTAAAAGTAGATTACAAAGCACAATGTTTAATGATTATTTACATGTTTGGCTTTCAATAAATGTCGGCTCCTTTTGAAAATGCAAATTTATACTTAAGCCACCTTGATTGTCAAGAATAATCTTACTGGATATTTTGTATAACTGGTGTTTGTGGAAGCGAACCTCGGTTTACTTTCGGTGAAAAGTGAATTTTTAATGAAACGTCGTTTTTTTCTCAAAGCACTACTGGTCATAAGCCTTTGACCAGTCATTCATTGATGAATCTTACAAAATTCAGCAGTTCAAAGGGAATCAATCGACTTGATGTCGTGCTCAAAGGAACAAGATCCAGCTCGTTAACCCCTTGTTCTTCGTGCAAGAAAGGTAAACGTGCAGTAGGAAGACGTAT